ATTCCTGAATATTATTGCTCAGGACTAAAGCTCTTCTACTTGAGCCACAGCTCTACTTTGGCTTATTTTTGTAGCTTATTGGAGATAAGAGTCTCATAAACTTTCTGTTCAGGCTGACATCAAAGTTTGTTCCTCAGATCCCAGCCTCCTGAGTAGCTGGCCACCAGCAACTGGCTTAAAGATGTGTTCTTTCATCCAAAATGGTCTGTCCCTTCCTTAAACTACAGTAATGCTGCTGTGTGGAGTTTTTCAGTGTCTTGAACTTCAGGGTGTGTGTGTGTGTGTGTGTGTGTGTGTGTGTGTAAATCTGAGGATCACAATTCAAAGCCAGCATGGGCAGGAAAGCCTGTGAGACTCTTATCTCCAATAAACCACTAGAAAAAAACCGGAAGTGGTGCTGTGGCTCAAGCGGTAGAGCACTTGCCTTGAGCTGAAGAGTGCAGGGGCAGCACCCAAGCCCAGAGTTCAAACTCCACAACTGACCAAAGAAATTTTTTTTTTTTAACTTAGGGGCCTTGTAGTTGCTAAGCAGGTGTTCTACCTGCTTTTTGCTTTACTTTTCAGGTAGGGTCTTGTTTTCTGTTTTGTTTTGTGCTTGTGGCTAATTTGGACCTTGATCCTCCTACTTACACTTCCTGTCTATCTGGGATGATAGGTATGAGCCATGATGGTCCATTAAAATTTTTTTTGGTCAAGATGGGATCTTACTTTTTACCTAGGCATTGAACCACAATCCTCCTGATCGCTGCATCCTGAGTAGTAGGGATTATAGGTGTGAGCCATCATACTTGGTTGGCTATTGGCTCTCTGAATTTAGGGCTCTGTGTTTTGCTTTTGAGGTGCCCAAGTAAAAGTAACACATTCTTTAGGGATCCAGGCTAGTCCAACACTAAGTAGCCAAGTATTTGGAGTCTTAAATCATTATTCCAGCCGGGCGCTGGTGGCTCACGCCTGTAATCCTAGCTACTCAGGAGGCTGAGATCTGAGGATCTCGGTTCAAAGCCAGCCCGGGCAGGAGAGACCTTGAGACTCCTATCTCCAATAAAAACCACCAGAAAACCGGAAGTGGCACTGTAGCTCAAGTGATAGAGCGCTCGCCTTGAGCTGAAGAGCTGAGGGACAGCGCCCAGGCCCAGAGTTCAAGCCCCACGACCAACAAAAAAAAAAATCATTATTCCATTCAGCTCTTCCTTCAGTACCACTCACTTCTCCAACTTAGTCCAAAAGGACAGTAAGACCTCCAGCTTTAGGCATTCCCATGGGTCATTTGTTACGTTAAGTCTGATCCTGTAGGAGGGATACTGTGGATACAGGCAAATGGCAGTGACTCCTCCTTCCTTTTTTTCTTCTTCTTAGTCACACTTATTACCTTAGCTCCTATGCCAGTTCCTCATTCTTTGGCATAGGTCAGGAAGGCATGTGTGTTTGTATTGTGGTATTATTGTATACTCTGTCTACATGTTAAACACTAGATAGGATTCAAGCTTAACATTACATTTTTACCTCCCTCCACTAAATGCTTGGCCACCTTACCCTGCCACCCCACTAGCTGTGGGGAAACCAGCTCATTGGGCTAAAGGGAATCCAGACTTGGAATGAGGCAGATCTAGATATGGATTTCATTGCAAATGTAGCTGTATGAATTCCTGTTTGATGATCTAATATCCACCCTGACATCTTAATGTAACCTCGATTTTGCTTGAGGTGTCACTGGATCCAAATGAAAAGACTCTGCTTTTCAGTCTCCTTTGCAATGAGATGGCAAGATGACATAGCTTTAACAGAGGTAGCCCAAGAAGTTCTGGGGATACTTCTGTTTTATTGATCCCACTTTCCTGTTGCCTTGTTGTCTTTCCCTTTGCTTCCTGTATGCAAGTAGTCTGGAGGTTCAGCAGCCATTTGTGGGGGGGTGGGAGGAGGAGGGTTTACAAGCTGATTGTGACAGTCAGGAGTTGAAAGGACTCTGTCCTCATGGGCATCTGTGAGCTCTGTTGTTGCCTGTATGTCTTAGGTGAGACAAATGGATCTCTAAGGCAAAGTCATTTTGTGTTGTTATTTGTAACCTAAAGCTTCCTAGAAGAAATGGAAACAAATAAAGACTCTAGAAACATGTCTTTCCAGTAGATGTCCACGTACTGCTTCCTTTTCTCTAGCTCTGAGTCACAGCTGTATTGACACAATGAGGTTCAATCATTTCTCTAGTGTGTGTGTTAATCCCTGCATATGTGTGTGTTGTGTGTTGGCATAAGGGTCAGTGTTCAATACCATTCTCACCTGTCCTGAGCTTTTATACAACAGGCCACCTCCTCTGTTTTTTTCTTGTGCTGGTACTTGGCTTGAACTTAAGGTCTTGTGCTCTTGCTTGGCTTTTTTTTTTTTTCTCTCAAAGCTGATGCTCTACCACTTGAGTCACAGCTCTACTTCTGGTTTTTTTTTGATGGTTACTTGAAGGACAGAGTCTTGTAGACTTTTCTGCCTCATCTGGCTTCGAACTGTGATCCTCAGATCTCAGCCTTCTGAGTAGCTATGATTATAGGTTTGAGTCACAAGCACCTCACTGGGCCACCACCTTTATGACCCGTGGAAACACTCAGGTCTTATCCAGGTCTGCTTCCCCCCACTGCCTAATGCATGCTGCTGAGCCTCCTTGCCTTCCTGCAACTGCCAATTTCATGACATCACCTTAGCGATTCCTGGGACCAAGTATCACACTAACCAGGGCAATTAGAGCCTTCCCAGACCTTGTCAAAAGGAAGTGAATGTAAAGGAATTTTTAAACTATATTATTCTATATTTTTTAAACCATTGAATGGCAAAAAAAAGAAATTAAATCTTTTCTTTTTTTTTACTTCAAAAGAAAATCATATAATGAGATGATCCTGTTGGGCCTCAGGCATACACATGGCTTCTGTTCCCCAAGGCTTTCCCAGTGATCCAGGGAGGGATTCCAGCCTCCGCGGATCCGGGCTCCTGATTGGACTAAAGTCTGTCCAATTCCTTAGTGCCTTTTCCTGGTGAGGGTGCTGTGACCCACTCAGCCCTTCCAGCTCAAGTGCTCCTCCTTCATGGCCTTCACCAGCCAGTCCCGCTCAGACCCCTGCTCAGAGTCGCTGGTGTCGCTCCCCTCCACAGCTAACAGCTTCGAGTAGTTGATTTTCCGCCCTTTGGGCAGCCTGGGTTGGATGGACAGGAACAAGGCCAGCCAGACCAACAGGATCACGCAGCAGGACCGGTAGAGCACAACCAGGTTGAAACGCATCACCACGAAGCCCCCTACGAAGCTGCCCAAACTACAGCCACCTCCGTAAAAGTGGCCCTGGAACATAGTACCCAGAGGTCTCTCGGTGCCCGGGGTGGCTCCCTCTTCTATGGAGGCTGCCACGGCCCACCACAGGGCCCCTCTGCTGATGGCCCCGAGGATCTGCACGGGCAGGACGGACCACCAGCTCCACAGGAAAGAGTAGTACAGCAGCTGCCCCGCCAGACAGCCCAGGCCCAGCCCCATCACGCCCACCCGGGGCAGTTTCTTGAGCAAGGCCGCTTTGAATGGATGGAGCAGGAGTTCCCCCAGCAGGCTGAGGGCTACAGAAAACCCCATGATCAGCTCGCTGCTGCCGTGGTCTTTCATGTGCCAGAACAGGAAGTTCTGCACCGTACTGGCCACCGCTCCTAGCAGAAAGACGGTCAGAGCCAGGAGCACGAGGCGGGCATCGCCTCGGAGCAGAGATAGCGCTTTGACGGTTTTGTAGCTGGGTTCCGGCCGCCGGGAGAGCGGGACCGGGAAGGCGATGCTCACCAACGAGGCCAGGATACTGACCAGGGAGTAGCTGTAGAAATGCACCAAACCCCGGGGGCCGTTGGTCATGGGGAAGCAGTCCAGTTGCCCCACCAAGGCGGTGATGCCGCACACACCTGCTGCCATGCCCAGCAATCTCCAGATCCACAGGTTTCGGTAGCGATCGGTGGCGTCCACGAAATCCAAGTATTCGTAAAGGCTGTCATCCGCCACCTGCTCCAGAGGGGCGGTGAGCAGCTCCCAGAACACCAGGAACCCCAAGGAGAGGATGAAAGTCCATCGCAACCCTTCCAGGGAGAGGCCCAGGACCTGGGCTTCCTCCTCCGCCACCGACAGGTTGGCTGGAGCTCCTGGCACCCTCCCCAAGGGCAGCAGGGCCAGGGCGGAATTCACCACCTCCAACGCGCCCTCCCATGCGGCGTCTCTCCCTGCAGAAGTACCCGGCCCGGGAACTCGGGTGGTAGTCCTGGCTTCTTCAATAGGGCCCACCCAGTAGCCCCTCAGACGTTCTAGATCGTCTTGGCGGGGTCCATTTCCCGGGCCCGAAGCTTCGGGAGTTGCAGTCCTCCCTGGCGGGTTGGAGGTCCACTCCGGGGCGGAGATCGTGGGGGTCCCCGTGGTCCCCCGTGGCGGGACCGTGGCGGGCACGCCGTGGCTCCCGTTGCAAGCGCGGTCCACCGGGTGTCCATCCAGAGGGGGGACCAGGACCATGAGCAGGCCGGCCCCCGCCGAGCCCAGCAGCGAGCCGAGCAGGAGCATCCGCCGCTTCTGGTAGCTCCTGGCCAGGAAGGTGCAGAAGGGAGCCCAGCAGGCCGCCACCAGGTGCTTGGTCCCCATGAGGATGCCCACCCAGGGCGCGGACAGGCCCAGCTGCCGCAGGTACAGCGTCAGGAACGGGGCCACGCAGGCGTCCCGGACCCCGCACACCAGGTGGAAGAGCCGGGCCACCCCCAGCGCCCTGTTGACGTCCCACTGGGGGTTGGCGCTCATGGCTGCCCCGGCTCTCCGTCAGACCCGGACCTGGGGACAGCGGAGGGGAGCGTGGCGCGGGCGCCGTGGCGGCCGGGGAGGGCGCGGCTCCATGACCCCCGGGAAGGAGGCTGGGGGGGGGGTCGGGGTGGGGGAGGGGGTGGGGGGAGGTCCCGGCTCAGGGCGAGCCCCACTGCGGCCGGCCTCCGCCCCGGGAGGCGCCGCGCTCACCCATTCAACGGCCGCCCCCACCCGGAAGCAGCCCCGCCCTCCCAGGGGGCGTGGTGTGGTCGCTGGGGACGTGGCCGGGGCGTGGCCTGGCGTTAGGGGGCGTGGCGTTAGGGGGCGTGGCGTTAGGGGGCGTGGCGTTAGGGGGCGTGGCGTCCGGGGGCGTGGCGTCCGGGGGCGTGGCGTCCGGGGGCGTGGCGTCCGGGGGCGTGGCGTCCGGGGGCGTGGCGTCCGGGGGCGTGGCGTCCGGGGGCGTGGCGTCCGGGGGCGTGGCGTCCGGGGGCGTGGCGTCCGGGGGCGTGGCCGGCGCACCTGTTCCCCTCCCCCCTATCTCCCTCCCCGCAACTGCCACGTCCGCAGCCTGCTTCTCGCGGTGCCACCTGCTCGGATGTATCCAGGTGTACCACAGGCGTGTCCTGGGTCCTATAGGGTGTGTTCTGAGCTGGGGTACAGGCTCCATCTGTCCCCTAGGTGTCCCATTGTCTTCCAGGATGTTGGGGCCAGGATGAAGGATGGAGGTAGGAGAGAGTGGAGAAAAGAGATCTATTAAGTTCTTTCCTCTAAATAATTATTCAAAGGCTTCCCGATCCGCAGGCACCCACACAGATCACCCCCTGTGCACCAAAAGTGAAATGGTAAGCCCAAGACTCACCTCTACTACCTGCTTTAATGGCTCCTACTTCCTTACTGTCAAGCTGTTCTGTCCTTGTTGATTGTTTCCATGCAATCAAAGCTTCGAGAAGGCGGGGATTCTTTTCTTTTCTGATGCCAAGACCCAGGACTGTTTCATTGTATTCAAGCTGTTACTGGAAAGGTGTGACCTCCTGCAAACCATTTCTAGTTCAAGACTGAAGGACTGGCAGCAGAGGGGAGTCAGGTCAGATCCTAGTAGCACCTCAAGCCCCTCAGAAGTCTATCTGTACTGTATAGTTTTAATCTACACCTAAGGCACTTACTGGCCTTGTTTGGAGGTAAACATTCCAGTGGCCCCAAACTAGCATTAAATTAAAAGCCACACTCAAGAGGCAGCTGATGATTTTAAGATCAAAAGAAGTAGCTTCATCTGTCAACGTAATAGATTTTACAGGTGAATTTAACCATATCTGATCTGATTTATGAGGTATTCTTGTCTTCACTGAAAGCATAGAAGAATCTAGAAAAAAAGAATCTAGACAAAGAACCTAGAAAAAAGAATCCTTTTTGGAAGGATGCCACAGGCTTTTCTTCAAATTAGTTCCAGTGTCCAGCCACTGTTTTTTGTTTGTTTGAATGTTTTTTTGTTTGTTCTGGGGCCTGAACTCTGGGCCTGGGTGCTGTCCCTCAGCTCTTCAGCACAAGGCTAGTGCTCTACCACTTGAGCCACAGCGCCACTTCCAGCTTTGTTCTGCTTATGAACCGAACCCAGGGCCTCATGCATACAAGGCAAGCACTCTACCACTGAGCCACCTTCCCAGCCCCCAGCCACTAATTTTTTTTTTTTTTTTACTACTTTCTGCTTCTGTGTTTTATAGTGCTGGGAATTGAACCCAGGACCTTAAGCATGCTAGGCAAGTGTTCTACCACGATCTACAACCCTAGCCTTGGCAGTGGGTAGAGTTGGGGGCAGGAATACTTGTTAATCTGTCTGCTTGTGTAGCAGAATTTGGTCTAAGACTTGAAGTTGTTAGAGAACTGGGAAGAAAGCCCAGTGTGTTTGCACCTTAACAGCTGGGAAACTCTAAACATGTCTACTTAAAGACTTCATGAATATGAAAAAGTTTATATCCCGCCAATACTGAAAAAAAAGGAAAAAGAAATTCAGTTTCCTCCTCAGGGCAAATTCAGTCAACTTCAGTGATACTGTCTGTAGTCGCTTCAGGTTTCCAAACACCTCAGCCACACTGCACCTGTTCCTTGTCCCTCTCCTACTCAGCTCCTTCATCCATCTTTGTCTTGGTCTTGACCTGTCCCAGATTCATCTGCTCTGGGAGGCAGGCACTCTGCCCACTGCTTGCCCTCAGATGCTTACATCTGCAAGGTTCCGGGAGCTGGGCTCCATACTGCTGCCTATGTGGCCCCACCCTTTCCCCTTTGAAATTCCTGTCTACCTGAGAAAACCTGTGCCTTGTTCCCATGTCCCCTGCAGCGTCCCTGCAGGCATAAGTGCCTACTAGGTACTTGTCTCAATTCCTAGGACATTGAGAAGCTGAAATAGAATGCACATGTTGTTACTTTGTGTTTGTGTGTGTGTTCACGCCAGTGGGTAGGTACTAGGGCTTTTTGTTCCTTAGCTTTTTCTGCTCAAGGCTGCTGCTGCACCACTTGAGCCACAGCTCCACTTCCAGCTCTTTAGTGGTTAGTTGGAAATGAGAGTCTCATGGACTTTTTTTGCCTAAGCTGGTTTTGAACTTCAAATCCTGGATCTCAGGCTCCTGAGTAGCTAGGATTACAGGCATAGGCTTTACCTTTCTACTCTCAAATCCTCAAATTTAAAAGGGCCTCTTCAAGTACTATATGTCTGCTGAAACTCATCCAGTGATGGGGCCGGGCTCAAGGCTTTTTTTAAAAATTTTTTTTTTTTTTTTAATTTTTTGCCAGTTCTGGGCTTGAACTCTAGGTCTGGAGGCTGTCCCTCAGCTCTTCAGCTCAAGGCTAGCACTCTACCACTTGGGCCACAGTGCCACTTCTGGCTTTTTCTGCTTATGTGGTGCTGAGGAATCGAACCCAGGGCCTCATGCATGCAAGGCAAGCACTCTACCACTGAGCTACCTTCCCAGCCTCTGGGCTCAAAGCTTTGTGTTCTCTTGGTTACTTTCTCCTTCTGGGGTGGAGACTGCCTCTTAAGTGTGGGGATACTAGGACAGTTGTCATTGATAGTCATTGAACTCAAATGCTAAGAATTGTGATGTCTTTAATCTCAAGATCCTTTGAAATTACTGCATATTTCCACCTCTGTTTGGGGAAGAGTGCCTTATCAGAACCGTCCCTAAGTTAATGAGGTCTGCCCTCTGATTTCTATTAAAATCTAAATATTGTTGAGTATTAGACAAAAGCAGAAAGACTTCAGTGTGCATTTATTGACTCTGTCATTCTTTTCTTCAGTGGGAGAGATGTCCTTTGGCATGGGTGGAGTGGACAGTGTTCTGAGTGGACCCAAGTGTGCTCACCTTTGACCTTCTTCCATCTTTCTCCTTGGCCCTAGAGCAATGGCTAAAATAGCAGCTCTGATGCTATTAAACTTAGATTCTTTTATTGTTACTATAAAGGTGAAGTACAGAGGGGAACGTAAGTAACATGTTACAGTCACATAAGTCAGGTAAAGAGTGCATTTCTTCCTGAACAAAGCCATCTCTTCCCTCACTCCCTTCCATCCCCACCCACAATTTGCATAGTACATTTCCACGTAGTGTCTAGTGAGTACTATGGCTGCATTTGTTCACCCTTTATCCCTTCATTTCTGTGCTTCCCTTACCCTCTCCCCAAGACATATAAATGAACCAACAAGACAGAGAGAAAAAAATTGTTTCCATTTCCTGAAATTCATTTTGATAAATATCATTTTATATGATCAGCAGCATAGAGGTAATTGTGATTTTGTGTTCGTCTCCTAAGAGTATCTGGTGCTGGTTTTTAAGGGCTGGGTGGTGAGCTTGAGTGGCCAAAGACAAGGGCAGGAGGGAGTGATTAAAAACAAATGCAAGGTGGGCGCTGGTGACTCACACCTGTAATCCTAGCTACGCTGGAGGCTGACATCTGAAGATCTCAGTCTGAAGCCAGCCTTGGCAGGACTCTTATTTTCAATTAACCACTAAAAGTCTGAAAAAGGAACTGTGGCTCAAGTGGTAGAGTGCTCGCCTTGAGTGGAAAATACTCAGGAACAGTACCTAGGTCCTGAATTCAAGCCCCAGGACCAGCACAAAAAGGAATAATACACACACAATGGGTGCTTCACAAGGGGCACATGCTCCCATTCCATCTCAGCTCGGCTCTACTCAGGGGTCCCCTGGGTCTGCGCTGTATTCTGCATCATCACACATCCCTATGGCCAGGTCCCTGAGCTCCCAGGCCCTCCCAGACTTCTGGTCAAAGCCAGAGCTCTCCAATGGAGTCAGGCCTTTGTTTCTGCTGTTGGTGCCAGCATTGGAGAGCCTGGGAATAGTGTTTCTTGTTGTGCCTGCTGCCCTGGGCCCAATTCTAGCACTGGTATTGGGCTCACTGGACAATGCCAGAGTAGGTGTTGATGGGCATTTGAAGAGGCTTGGACGTGGTTTCGGTCTGTTCCATTGCCTTCTTCTCTTCTGGATTGGGCCATGGCATCTTGGACCTCTGAGACCTGGAACATGGCTCTGGGCAGGGATCAACCTCAAATCTGTGGTGGAGACAGACCAGCTCAGAGGGCCTATCTGAGGGACCGGAGATATCCCACGCATTTGAAGGGTATAGAAGAGGGTGGCATGCAGAAGGAAGAGGAAAATCAAAAGGAAAAAGAATATAGGGAGCTTGGGCTCCCCAGAGGAGGAGACGGGTTTCTGTGTCTATCTGTTTCTCTTAACATACTTCCTAGTTAAAGCCTGCAAGGGTCCTATTAATTGGCACAGCTGCTCCAGGGTGCTGCCTTGGTGGAAGCCCCACCCCCTCCTCCAGTGCCAGCACGAGGGGGTTGGGTCAGGAGGACTGCAGGCTGAGTGTACCCCTCACCATCTCCCCAGTGCCAGCCTCTGCTACCTAGAGTCAAGTCATCAGGGCCTCCATCTGGCAACAGGTTCCACCACTGATAAGGTATCCTTGTTTGTGCCATGAAGTCTGGAGCCCTGGCTGGATGGGGGGGGGGATTGGGGGGGATGGGGGGGAGGGGAAGGGGGAGGGTGGCAGACCCAGCTCACCTAACCACGTCCTTGAATGTGCGCCGATTGTCCTTATCCAACCACAGCATCAGCGGCCTCTGGTCCTGGCTCTGGACCTGGATACTGGAGGTCCGGAAGGTGTTTGTCGCCATCTACACACAGAGATGACGCGTCCGTGTGTTGCCCTTGCTCAGGGCAGTTGGCCCTGTCCATTCCTTCCACCCTAGGTCTGTTGTTTCTTCTGTACAGCTCAAGGGCTCTCCTGCTTGCTTCTCGGACATGATTCTTAGCAGTAACAACCCTGCCTCTACTCTCTCTCTGTTGTCATGGCCTGTGGCTCTCACATGGATCCTGAGCTTCTTCTCCCAGCCTGAATGGACAGTGCATGTTGGACTACTACGAATGGTAGTAGTACTTTAGCAGTACTTCTACATGACCAACTGGATGCCTGGGAATATGCACTTCTCAGCATTAAATTACATAAACAATTTCTTTCCCTCTTTTGTTGGTGGTGAGGCTTGAACTCAGGGCCTGGGTGCTGTTGCTAAGTTCTTTTACTCAAGGCTAGTGCACTACCACTTTGAGCCCCAGCTCCACTTCTGGTTCTCTGGTGGTTTGTCGGAGATAAGAGTCTCACAGATTTTCCTGTCTAGGCTGTCTTTGAACCATGATCCTCAGATCTCAGCCTCCTGAGTAGCTAGGATTACAGACATGAATCATCATGTAGAAGGGCCCTCCCTTCTACACTTTTTTGTTTTGGTACTAGCACTAGAGCTTGAACTCAAGGCCTTCTGCTCTCCTGCTCAAGGCTGGTGCTCTGCCACTTGAGCCACACCTCTACTTCTAACATTTTGGTAATTAACAGGAAATAAGTCTCACAGACTTTTTTGCCTGGGCTGGCTCTGAAGCTGGATTCTCAGATCTCCTGGGCGGCAAGGATTACAGGAAAGAGCCACTAATGCCCAACAAAGACTGCCATTCTTTAGTGGTCTGGCTGCTGTGTGGTACCCAAGGATGCTGGGGGCATTTGTGATGGTCAAGGGACATATCGCAGGTCCTCAAATGGTCCTTGGGTGGAGGACAGGGCCTTGACTCTGAGTGCTTTACGTAGCCTCATTGGTGCTCTGTATTTGAAACACAGTTTGGAGGGCAGATTCTTTCTGATTGGACGCTTCATTTCCATAGCGAAGCTTGCCCTCTCCTGTCAGGCCTTTCCCTCATGCAGGCTCCCTGTCACCTGCTGGCCTGGCTCCCATCCACCCGTGCCCTGTACCTCCCACTGGAACCTACCGAGAAGGACCTTCCCGCTAGGTGACAGGACTTGACAACCTCCGCCACGCTCACATTCAGACACATGTGGTCCATTGCAGACGCAGCCACTGGGGGGCAATGGGGGAACCCCAAAACTGAATTAGGTAGGGGGACTGGGAGTGAGACTCCTGGGAAGTGTCCATTGGAGATTCTGGGTCCTAAGAAGACCATCCCAAACCCAGCTCACTCCATCCCCGCCCCCAGCTCAGCCCTCTATCTCCCCACTTCCCAATTCTTTCTTGAGCTGTTCCACTTGCTTCCCCAGGACCCAGCTCCCTGGAGAATCAGCTAGGTGTCTGTCTCCTCAGACCAGGCAGCCATCATTGCCCCCAACTCCTCCCTGCAGCTCTGTCCTTTATCCCCTGCCCCCCTTTACCAAAGGAAGAATGTTCGGTTGAATTCCTCTTTAGCCGCAGACACCATGAGAATAGAAGGAATAGCTAGCCAGAAGCATCATGGCAAGGAGAGACCTGCTTCACACTTTCCTTTGACTGTGGTGTGTGTGTGTGTGTGTGTGTGTGTGTGTGTGTGTGTGTGTATGTGTAGATCAAACCCTGGGCCTTAGCTTTCTTACTCAAGGCTAGCACTCTACCACTTGAGCCACAGCTCCACTTTTGCTTTAGTTTTTTTTTCTTTTTTTCCCCCTTTTAAAAAAATTTGGATAATTGGAAATAAGACTTTCTTGCAATTTTCTTGCCCTGGCTGGCTTTAAACTGAGATTCTTATATCGCAGTTTCCTGAGTAGTTAAGGTTATAGGTGTGAGCCACCACTGCCTGGTTCCTTTGGCTTAAACATTTTTTTTTTTTTTTACTTAGCTGTAGTGTTGGGAATTGAACCCATGGACCCTCTCATGAGAGGCAAGTCTGAGTCCCATCCCTATACCTCCACCAACATGCTCATAATGACGGTGTGGCTGCTCCCAGGCCCAGTCCCTCCCTCCGGCTAAAGGAGTTGTGCATTTCCCCCTCTGAGGGGGACTCTGATAACACCACACCTGATCTGATAGGGTTTGGGTGTAGGGAATGAGTAGGTACCTTGGGAAGAAGATAAAAGCAAAAATTCAGATTTAAATATAAGGGCCAAGATTATACTCTATGTCATAAATGAGTATCTAGTCTGTTTTTAGAAATTTCTCTGAAAATGTAGAGAAGTTACAAGCAACTTTTGCAAGGTCACCAGGTATTAGGTGGCAAAGCCAGAGTTCAGTCTCTACCCATCCAGCCCTGACATCACCTGCACCTGCCTCTAAGCTAGGAGCCACTATATATCTCCCATGTGTTTATGGACCACAAGGAAAGAATGTCTGTGAATGAGTTTCACACGTAACTCACAAATCTAGCTCGACTGGAGCTCTGGTGCCTTGTAAGAACATACATGTGGCTTGGCACCAGTGGCCTGTAATCCTAGCCACATAGGAGTCTGCAATCTGGAGAATCAAGGTTCAAAGCCAGCCTAAGCTGAAAAGTTCACAAGACTCTTATCTCCAATTGACCTGCAAAAAGCAGAAAAAGTGTCAGGGCACCAGACTTAAGTGCACACGGCCCTTGTACCATCAACATAAACAAACAGATACAAATGCAGGAGGCTGAGGCAGGACGATGTCAAGTTTGAGGCCAACCTGGGTTATCTGGGGAGTTACTGTCTCAACCAAACAAAAGAGCACAAATTCAGTAGAGACAGATAGACGACTGGTACTGAGACTTGAACTTAGGGTCTGGGTGCTGTCAGCATTTTTGCTCAAGGCTAGTGCTCTACCACTTGAGCCTCACATCCACTCTTTGGTGGTTAATTGGAGATAAGAGTTTCATCAACTTTCTTGCTGGGGCTGGTTGCCAGCCTTAATCCTCAGCCTCTTGAGTAGCTAGGATTACAGGTGTGAGACACCTGCACCTGACAGGGTGAACTTTTTTTAATCTCCCCCCACACCCACCCAGTCCTGGGGCTTGAACCCAGAGCCTGGGCCCTGTCCCTGAGCTTCTTTTGCTCAAGGCTAGCACTCTATCACTTGAGCCACAGCACCACTTCAGGCCTTTTCTGTTTATTCGCTCTGTGGAATAGAACCCAGGGCTTCATGCATACTAGGCAAGCACTCTACCACTAAGCCACATTCCCAGCCCATGGGTGAATGGTCTTGTTGGTTCTGTGCTCATGTCTCTAAAGTCATGTGTAAGATTGGGTAGTGGGGAACAGCAGAGCTTGACAGTACAGGGGCCAGCTTTGATCCTTTCACAGAGTGGCCTTGTAAGTTCCTCTAAAGAAACAGTCTCATAGCTTAGCATGTGCTCAGAGGAGTTCATCCATAAACACAGCATTGCCTAGCCCCTGGCAAACAGGTGCCATGCTTAGTAATCCACATTGCTGCCCTTTTAGAGATTGCACAGCAAGAGGTAACCTTTCTGTGTAGTACTGGGGTTTGAATTTGGGGTCTTGTGTTTGCTAGGCAAGCGCTCTAATGACTATCTGATCTAAAGTGATGTCTTCTAATTTCCCAGGTACAGAGGCCCAGACCTGAGGCGTAGGCCAGAATTCGGGTTGCTAACAATGAACCCCTAAAGTGCCAAGGCCCTGCTTCAGTCAGGGAAGCCCAGGGCTCGGCTTGTCCACGCTGGAGTTCTGTGACCAGATGTGTCCCCGCCCCCCTTCAGCACACTCCCTCTTCAGTCCTTTTCCTCGCTCCATAACTTTCCCCTTCTCAGCCCTTCTCTCTTTCTCTCTGCTCTGCACCTCCAGCTCCTTACCTTCAGTGTCACTGGCCGGAATGGCCTTCAGGACCAGCCCAGTGGCCCTAAGGGAGATGGCCACCTCTTGGTGACGGTGGCTGAGCAGGGCCTGGGGGGGGGGGAGTTAAGGAACAGGTGGGGTCCAAGTTGTGTTTCTCTCTCCCTGCACCCTTATATTCCCAGTCTGGCCTCTCCTATGTTTCGGCCTGCCCTCAGCCCTGCCTGGGGCACTGTCCTGAATGACCCAGGGATAGAGGCATGGAGTCTGCCTAGTTTGCCAACTTTCAGCCCCAGGTTCCAGCCCCAGTGGGATTAGTTCAGGCATTTGCTCAGCTCTTGAGAGAGATTTGGAGCAGGGGTCAGCCCTCTCTTTCCTTAAGTTCCATTATGGCCTTGTCGACACAGAAGATCCACCTTGACCCCTTCACCCCCAACTTGTCCCTGAAAAACCCTCCCACGGCTGAAAAACTGCTAACAGCTGTAAGAAGGGCAAAGGAGCCAGGCACCGACAGCTCATGCCTGTAATCCCAGCTACTCCAGAAGATGAGATCTGAGGATCGCAGTTCAAAGCCAACCCAGGCAGACAAATTTGAGAGATTCTTTATCTCCAATGAACCAGCAAAAAGTCATAAGTAGGGGCTGGGGCTCAAGTGGTAGAGTACCAGCCTTTAGTGAAAAAAGAATCACACCAGACAAAAAGACCTTTAGCTCCTTCAGCCCCTCCAGGTCCGTGAAGCCACTTCTGCTAGCTGAACCCCTGGACCCTCCTGACCACAGCCAAGTCACTGACCTTCTGGTAGCACAAGGAGAGCTCAGCGCCCAGGCTCTCTGCTGCCCCTCTCCTCCGGGGTGATGCACCCTCTGTGAAGGGGGAAGAGATGAGAGGTACAAGCCGAGGGGCGAGGTCCCCGGTCCCCCTCCACGCACACAGAGGCCAAGCTGAGCCCTGGACGCTAAGCTAGCACTCAGGGGGACCAGGCTGGCTTCTGGGCTTGGGGAGCTCCAGGGAAGGAGACAAGGGCAGCTCTGACATCGGCCAGGCACAGGGTTGAGCCGGCTGGGGGGCAAGGTGGGAGAGTTCCAGGGAATCTGAGCCTGAGCTTTGGGAAATAGGGAGCACTGCTCACCTTTGGGGGGTTTGGGCTCATGGATCTTCATCTTCAGCTCTGTGAGGAAAATGTCCTCTGTAGGTTCTTGGCTCAGATCACTGAAGATCTGGAAAGAGGAAGGGGTAGGAAGGGAGGAAGGAGGATTGGGGAAGGATGGCTCACTGGCCCAGATCCATCTCTGCCTCTGCCTCACACCCATGCTCGAGTCTTTATGGTATTTAGTTATTTTTTTGTGCTGATACTAAGGCTTGAACTCAAGAGTCTCATGCTTGCTTAGCTTCTTCTCTGCTCAAGGATGGCCCTCTACCACTTGAATCACATCTCCTTCTGGCTTTTTACTGGTTTATTGGAGATAAGTATATCACAGACTTTCCTGCCTGGGCTGGCTTTGAACTATGATTCTCAGATCTCAGTCTCCTGAGTAGCTAGGATTACAGTATGAGCCATGGGTGGTGCCTGGCCATGCTAGATTCTGAGTTGAATCCATCCACCACTAAAGAAATATATAATATATTATAACATATTATACTATATGATAGCATATAATATGCTATAATTATATATAAGATATATATTATATAACATCTATCATGTAATATATAGTATATATATTATATAATATTTAATGTTATATAACATAATTGTTATATAATCTTTAATATATTATATATTATGTAATAATCACATAATTACATATGCATGTATAATAGGTTGTTATTATATGTAATATAATATATTACATAATTAGACTATAATATACACATTATATATACATATAATATATATACATATATACATATAATATAGCTGATCTATATTATATAGTATAATGCACATATAATTTTGTAATATATATTTTATTATACATATATTTTATAATTATGTTATAATTATATTATATATTATATTACATTATCATAATATATAATAATATATAATATTATATATTACATAAATATATATATCCATCAGCTGAATAAGAGATAACCACCTTTTGGTCAATAACAGAACACAAACACACACAATATGTATATGTATATATTATATATATATATATATATATATATAAATAAAATTGACCATGATCCCATAGATTGTAATGGAACTGAAAATTCTCTCTACCTAAAGATGTCATAGCTATTGCAAAGCCAATACACAGCATTCTACTTACATTCTTGTGATGGTTCTGGTGGAAACACATACACACCAAGGTAAAGGGAGAGCAAACACAATTATGTCTCTCTACCTGACCATGAGACCACTTATGCATTTACTGACTGTACATCTGATTAGTGCTCTATTGTGTGCTCCTTTAATGTATACAAGAGTAGTTGAGCTGGGTGTGGGTGACTCACGCCTGGTATCAGGAGGTTGAGATCTGAGGATTATGGTTCAAAGCCAACCCGAGCAGAAAAGTCTGTGAGACTCTTACCTCCAGTTAACCAGCAAAAAGCTGGAAGTAGAGGCATGGCCCAAGTGATAGAGTGCCAGCCTTGAGTGAAAAAGCCAAATGAGAGAGCTCAAGGGCTTGAGTTTAAGCCCTAGCACTAGGGGGAAAATAGCCTTGGACTAATGGGAATTTGTGGCTAGAGATTGAAAATGAGTTCAGAGCAACCTCTCTTGGATCCTCACTCTTCTGTGTGGATCTGATTCTTAGATATTAGTGATGGTTGGATCCATCCAGCTACTAAGCAGACAAAGCATTATCACCTAGAGAGCAGAGGTGTGTCTGTGACTTGCAACTTGATGATCCCTGTTCTCCATAGCCGAGGGATCCAATTGGTGATCTTGTGGTCCTGACATGGTACCCCAAGGGCCCCAAGTAGGAGGCATGGGAAGCTTACCTTGACCCTGTAGATCTGGAAATAGATAGGTTGGGTACCCATGCGAACATAGTATGTGATGGCGTCCAGGATGAAGGGATCAACTGCTTGGGATGTATCCAGGCAGGGAGGCTGTGAGGGAGATGGGGAATGTCTTCAGCAGATTTTATCCATACTACCAATAAGGCACATTTACCTAAGAGCCTTCACATATTCTCCACAATGCACAGACACAGCTGGTCCTTCCAATACCCCAATCCTTCCTGACCACTTGATTTCTACTTCTGATCAGAATGTATCTGCACAGAGCTCCAGCTCCCCAAGGAACCTGATTCATTTCCATTGTACAAGGACGTATTGAACAATTTAAAGATGCAGATCAATGTACTGGATACCTGTTCATTGGAGATAAGAACCTCATGACTTTCCTGCCCAGCCTGGCTTCAAACTGTGATCCTCAGGTCTCAGCCTCCTGAGTAGCTAGGATGACAGATGTGAGCCACCTGCCCTTTGCATATTCAAATTTTTGAGTACTGAATTTCTTACAAGGGTAAGTAATATGAACTGATGTCTCTCTCAGTTCTATCAGTCTCTGGATCTGTTTATTAAAAATCAATCAGCTGGGTGTGATGGCTTGTGCCTGTAATCCCAGCTTGTTGGGAGGCTGAGGTAGGAAAAGCATTAGTTCAAGTCAAAGCCAGCCTGGACAACATAGTGAGTTCCTGTCTATAAAATAAATAAATATGTAAATAAATAAAAACTAATAATGTTTGTGTTTTATTGGGACTGGATTTAATGCTTTATCCCCCATGGCTTTCACAGCTTCCCATGACTATAACCCATAATAACTGGGATCTTTAGGCCAAACAGAAAAACATCAACATTGAATGTAATGCAAATTAAATATTCCTTCTCTGGAATGTGTAGGACCAGAAAACAAAAGAATATCTCTGATTTCAGATTTTAGACTATTTTCATGAGGTATCTTGGCAATGGGACTCATGTTTAATAAATGTGAAATTTATTTTGTTGGATACACCCCTCACTCTGTAAGCTGAAAGCAATTTCATATGATACTTGAGCACGCATGTGCATGCTCTGACTAGAACCTGCCACCTGGAACCATGGTGATGTTTGCCACTTCTGGTGTTGTGGTGGTGTGAAGGAGTTTTGGATGTCAGGGGCATTTCAGATTTGGGAGTTTTGAATGAGAGGGGCCAACCTATAATCTCAGAGTTTATCTCATTCAGGCTCTATCTGGTGCTATGAAATGTCTCTGATTCTTGCATTATTCCTTTCACACTCACACCAGTGAATGATGAACTTGCTCTCATAGTGTCATCACTGCCCACACAGTTCCAGTTTCTCCATGTGAAAGCTGCATTTGGGATAAGCACCAGGCCATATTAATTGCTAATTACAGGGGGAAAGATAGAGGAAAACACCCCAAAATATTATCTATGGAGTCCTCTGGGGCTCAAGGAAAAAAGTATTTTAATACCCAGCTAAACAGCCTTTCATATACATGCAATGATGTCCCTAGATAAGTTATAAATCAGAAGACATATGCATACCAAAATATTTCTATGAATTAAAAACATAAGAAGGCATCTTAACCAATCAAATATAAAGCAAAGTGAAGAAGAGCTCAGTACAGTAGTTAAAGAACAAATGGTTAGGCAGGGTGTTAGTAGCTCATGCCTGTAATCCTAGCTTCTAAGGAGGCTAAGACATGGAGGATGGAAAGCTTGAATCCAGCCTGGAGCCAAAAATTTCCATGTCTACTCACCAGCAAAGAGCTAGACTGGAGGTGTGGTTCAGATGGTAGAGCACCAGCTGCTAGCAAGAAAGCTGAATAAGTGAGAGGCCTTGAATTTGAACCCTGGTACTGACAATAAATATTGTGTTCTTTAACTATTTCTGAAAGCAAAAATTAGTATGTGCAAATCTATAGCTACCTTTTCTACTATTCATAGGTTCTGCCATTGACCTATAAAACCTGAAGAATGGGTTTAGGAAAAAATGGGCAGATACTAATATGATGAAAATCACACCATTATACTGAAAGATATAAAAGAAAGACTTCCATAAATGAAGAGCTACAGTGTGTTCCAAAAGAAGAAAAGATGCTAATTCTTGGCCGGGCACTGGTGGCACATGCCTATAATCCTAGTTCCTCAGGAGGTTGAGATCTGAGGATCGTGGTTCAAAGCCAGCCCAGGCCAAAAAGTCTGTGAGATGCTTATCTCCATTTAACCACCAGAAAACCAGAAGTGGATCTGTGGCTCAAGTGGTAGAGCGCTTGCCTTGAGGAGAAATAGCTCAGAGACAGTGCCTAGGCTTTGAGTTCAAGCCCCAGGTCTGACAAAAAAAAAAAGTGAATTCTCCAGGATTTGATTGTAATTCTACTGTGATTCTCAAAATCCCAACAGAACTTAAAACCCAAAACAAAACATGAAAGACAATTCTACAGTTTATCAGGAAGGAAAAAGAATTGGCATGTTCTGGTAAGTTTTGTAAAAGAAGGATAATCATAGAAGCTAACCCTGGCAAGTATTAGAATACAAAAGGGCTGATTTCCACAGTATTGCCCAGATCCAGGAAAGAGAATGGGTGTCCAGAAATAAACTCAGGCAGATGTAAGAATTTAGTCAATGATAAACACATTATGGCACGTGAAAAAGGCCAGGAGATGAATGCAATAAATAGCTTCAGGACAAACTGGCTACACCTTTGGGGAAAAAAAGCAAAATGGCCTATCTTACGTGAAACACTAAAATCAACTGCAGATGGGCTGATTTGCTCAACATAAAATTCAAGGCATTGGAAGTGTTTGAGCAAATTAACAGTGAATATTTAATTTTGGAGTTGGGGGGGGAGGACTTTCAAAGCAAGACTCTGAAAGCAGAAATCAAAAAGAAGAAACGTACTATGTCTGAGGACATTACACTCTTTAAGTCAACAAGAAAAGCCAAATACACAAATACAGAAAATGCCAGGCACCAGTAGCGCAGGGCCCTAATCCTAGCTATTCAGGACATTGAGATCTACAGGATCAAGGCTTTAGGCAACCTTGGGCTGAAAAGTCCATGAGATTGTCTATAACCTCCAATTCAACTAGCAAAAAGCTGTGCAGAAGGTGAGGCTCAAGTAGTAGAGCACCATGCATGAGTGGAAAAAGCTGAGCGAGAGAGCAGGAGGCCCTGAGTTCAAACCTTGGTACTGACACACACACAAAAATGAATACAGTGGATAGGTAAATTACAAAGTAGACAAAAAGCATCAGCAATGTGTGTGTAGCTGTGACTAGCTAAAGGCCCTTATCAAGGCAGCTTGGCTGAAGGGCTTCAGTGCTGTGTAGCAGAGCTGTGTGGCCTGGAGCCAGGCTGCCCTGTTCCTAGGGTGCAGTGCAGATCAGCTCATTTTGTTCCTTGGGGCATGTTGTCAGTCTCTTTTTTGCCTCAGCGGCTTGCTCTGCACAAATGGGTTTTGTGGACAACAGTAGCAGATGTTAGAGGACCTGCCCAGGAACCTAGCAAAGAAATAAAGGAATGAATCCCTTTTCAGAAGTGCTTTATGCCAGGCACTGGGGCTCATTAGCCACTCAGGAGGCTGAGATCTGAGATCATGATTCCAAGCCAGCAGGAAAGTCTGTGAGACACTTTATTTTCAATCAACCACCAAAAAGCCAGAAGTAGAGCTGTGGCTCAAGTGGTAGAGCACCAGCTTTGATCAAAACAGCTAAGGGACAGTGGCTAGGCTCTGAGTTCAAGCCCCAGTACCAGCACACACACACACACACACACACACGAGGTGTCTGGATCAGTGATCAGTGCTGGGTACATAGTAAATGCTAAGGAAACCAGCTGGGCGGTACCAGCAAATGATCCTAGGGAGGTCCCAGAAAACCTCCCTCTGGCTGCACATCTAGAAAAGATGGGTTTACTCCATCCTTCCCACAGACTCCAGAGAAGGCTCAGAAAGTGCTCACTCCTAGGAAATCCAAGTACTGGCTGCACAGTCCTCCCTTAGCATGCTCTCTCTCCCCTCTCCGCCTTGGGGCTGATTCTTGAAGTCAATATCTAAAAAGGGACCCCCCCCCCCAGCCCATCCCTTCCCTCCCCACTGAGTTTCTCATATCCCCATCTGTGCAGCCCCCATGTTGCCCTCCCTCTCTCCTTCCCTCCCTCCCTGCATCCTCAGAGCCCATACCATTTCAGCCAGCTTGTGGATGGCAGGACACAGGGTGTTGACCGTGCTCTGGTACCAGGGGTCTGCCCGGCCCAGGAACGTGGCCAGGTCTCCCAGCTCTGGCTGCCTGGATGCTGTGAGATCCTGGGGACAAGAGAATGGGTTCATCCCTCAGGGCCTGCCTCCTGGCCTGGGGTCCCCCGTTCCCCAGCCTGTGCTTTGTGAGGGAAGCCAGTCTTTAACCACTCAGGGCCTCTGCTTGCGCACTGTATCTGACTAATTAGTATCTGCTTCATGAACTCAGGGGCGGGGAGATGGTTTTGGCTGAGGATCCCTTGTCAGGGATGATTGAAAAATAATCCTTGGCCCTGGCAGGGGAGAGACCAGTCTTGTTTTGATCTTCCTGCAGTGTGGCAGGAAGTGAAGCTATAGCCAAGTTTCCACTGTCTGAGACTTCCTTCCTTTCTTTTCTTTTCCTTTTCCTTTTCTTTTCTTTTCTTTTTGATGGCTGTGGTGGGGGCTACTGGGGCTTGAACTCAAGGCCTGATGTTCTCAGTTAGCTTTGTCTCTTAAGGCTGGTACTCTATCACTTGAGCCACACCTCTCCTTCCAACTTTTTGCTGGTTAATTGGAGACAAGAATTGCATGGGCTGGAAGTGGCGCTGTAGCTCAAGTGGTAGAGCGCTCGCCTTGAGCTGAAGAGCTGAGGGACAGCGCCCAGGCCCAGAGTTCAGGCCCCACCACCGACCAAAAATAAATAAATAAATAAATAAAAGAATCGCATAGGCTTTTCTGGCTTCACTGGTTTTGAATCTCAACCTTCGGGTCTCAGCTTCCTGAGTGGTTAGGATTGCAGGTGTGAGTCAACATTATCCAGTTTTTTTTCTGCTTTTATGTGAATCCCTGAAAGTGTGTGTGTGAAAGACATGGAGAGGGGAGAGAGAGGAGGAGAGGGAGGGAAGGAAAATAGGAACAGACAGGCAGGCAGAGAGAAAGGAAAGAAAGAAAGAAAGAAAGGAAAGAAAGAAAGAAAGAAAGAAAGAAGGAAGGAAGGAAGGAAGGAAGGGAGGGAGGAAGAAAGAAAGGAAAGAAGGAAGGAAAGAGGAAGGAAGGAAGGAAGAAAGGAAGGAAGGAAGAAAGAAAGAGAAGGGAGGGAGAGAAAGAGAAGAGCAAAGAGGGGCAGAAAAGACCTATGTTTAAGGAGAAGCTCAATCATACTCTATTACAAAACCAAGCCGGTCAGGTGGCTCATGCCTATAATCCTAGCTACTCCTGATGCTTCAGTCCAGCAGATCACAGTTCTAGCCAGCCCAGGCAGGAAACTCCATCCACGAGACTCCATCTCCAAAATAAACAGCAAAAAGCAGGGCTAGAGGTGTGGCTCAAGTAGCAGACTGGCAGCCAAGGAAGAAAACAGAGCAAGTGCCAAGCCCTGGCACTTTCAAACTCTGATATTGGCAAAAAAAAAATACAAAACCAAACCAAACACAGCTGTGGGCACCTTGTGGGTGGGCTTGTGTTGTGAGAGAACCTGTCTTGGCCACTTGTGGCCCCCAGAAGACCCCTGAAGCCTCTCCCAGCTCTGCATTTGAGCGGTAATGACTGTGGCCCCTGAGAATAGGGCTGAGGCTGCTGGAGAGTCCTGGCCCCTCCCTGCTCCGCCCCCCCTCCGCCCCTTGCCCCTCCCCTGTCCAGTCACCTGCGGGGCCAGCACTGGGATGTAGTAGAGCTGGAGGCTGAGTCTGGGGGTGAGGCAGAATTTCTGTGACTCCTGTTTCCTGGCAAGTTGTAAAAAAGTAGTCAGAGCGGAATGGGGTAGCGGGCTGATAGCATTAAGTCTGTGGGTTTTTTTTTTTCTCTCATTCTCTGTTTTCCTTCTTCCTTCGTCCCTTCCTCCATCCCTCCCTCCTTCCCTCCTTCTCTCCTTCCTTCCTTCCCTCCTTCCTTCTTTCCTTCCTTCCTTTCTCCCTCCCTTCCTCCCATCCTTTCTTCTTCCTCCTCCTCCTCTTCCTCCTTCTCTTCTTCTTCTTCTTCTTCTTCTTCTTCTTCTTCTTCTTCTTCTTCTTCTTCTTCTTCTTCTTCTTCTTCTTCTTCTTCTTCTTCTTCTTCTTCTTCTTCCTCCTCCTCCTCCTCTTTTTCTTCTTCTTCTCTTCTTCTTCCCCTTCCTCTTCATCTTCCCCCTCCTTCTCCTCTTCTTCTTTCTCCTCCTCCTCCTCTCTTCTTCTTCTTCCTCCTCCTTTTCTTCTTCTTCCCCTTCCCCTTCCTCTTCCCCCTCCTCCTCCTCTTCTTCTTTCTCCTCTTCCTCCTCCTCCTCTCTTCTTCTTCTTCTTCCTTTTCTTCTTCCCCTTCCCCTTCCTCTTCCTCCTTCTCCTCCTCCCCCCCCCCCCACACACATACTGAGCTTGAACTCAGGGCCTGAGCGCTGTCCTGTAGCTCTTTTGTGATCAAGGCTGGCTCTCCACCACTTGAGCCACACCTCCCCTTGTGCCATTTACAGGTGAATTGGCCTTGGCCTTCCTGGGCTGGCTTCTAGCCGAGTTGCTCCGATCTCAGCCTCCCGAGTAGCTAGCATTATAGGCGGGAGCCACTTACAGGCGAGGGGATGTCCTTCCTTGGAGCCTCAGTTTCCTCTTCCGTGGCAGAGCGGTGGGGAGGCCCAGCAGGGGGACACACCACCCCTGCCCCCTGCCCCCTGCCCAGCCCCAGCCCCTCGGCTCGCAGGGGCAGGGTACTCACCTGAGTGTGTGGTAGGCCTGGGCCAGGCGCCCCAGCATGCGGTCATCTCCCAGCACCAGCACCCGGGCCGTGTGCACGCGGGCCACGCCGGGCAGCAGCTCCCCGTCCCCGCTGGGCCTGCCGGTCCTGCGGTGCAGCCCGGGCGCCCCATCCCAGGCCCCGGACCAGGAGACGTCGGGGGGCCACAGGCGCTTCTTGATGCCTCCCTTGCGCTGCAGCGCAGCCCGCTCCAGCTCAGGGCTGCTGGGAGCCGGGATCTCATCAGCCCCCAGAGGCAGGTCGCGCTCGATGCCGCTGTCCGTGGACAGCACGGACGCCCGCGCCGCCCTGTCCAGGGAGCTCAGGCCCTGCAGATCCAAGGCCTCCAAGTCCGCGCTGAGGCGCAGCTGGGATGGAGGGCGGAGGAAGCGCGCCAGCTCCTTCCCTGGGGCGGGAGAAGAACAGGGGTCCCCTCAGAACAGGGAGGCCACCCAGCCTGGCAGGGGTCCCCTCTGCAAGGAGCTGTGATCCACCGAAACTCCGAATCCTGCACACTCCTACCAACTCTTGTTGAGTCCCCTTAGAGAACACATTAAAGGCTTTGAGAAGTCCTGCACTAATGCTATCAGCTTCACCTCTTCCCAAATCACTACTTGAAGCTTCCCCCAGGGATGCAGATTCTAGTCATCAGCTCCAGGAAAGGAGCAAATGGTCTAACCTACTGTGTGTGTGTGTGTGTGTGTGTGTGTGTGTGTGTGTGTGTGTGTATTTATCCTAGGCTTGAACTCAGGGCCTGGGTGCTGTCTGTCCCTGAGCTTTTTTGTCCTAGACTACCACTCTCCGCTTTGGGCTTTTTTGTTGTTAATTGGAAATAAGAGTCTCATGATCTTTCTTACCCGGGCTGGCTTTGAACCCTGATCCTCAGATTTCAGCTGCCTGAGCAGTTAGGGTTATATGCATGAGTAGTTAGGTTATACAGACCTGGTTCACTTAAAAATATTATATATATATATATATATATATATATATATATATGTATGGCATATGAGGAGACTGTGGCTTAGAGAAAATCGAGTCTATCTAGCATGAGCCAGCATGCAAAAGGAACTTTTAAGATTTGAACCCAGGTCCCTGCATCCTCAAGAAGAGCCAAGGGGATGGGGGTGGGACATCAAGTGGAAGGAGTGTGATGGGTGGGGCCTCCCTGGAAGGGCCTCCCCAGCTCAGGGTGCTGTGTGGGTTCATGTGCACCTCCCTCTCTCCTGGGGACATAGGCCTGGCTGGTGTCAACACAAGCTCCTGGCCCATGAGTCTGGAGACCAATGCATGGCACTGTTACCTGGAGACCAGCTGTCCTTCCAGCCATGCAGAGCAAGGAGTGGCTATGAGGCACACACAGACACGGGCACAGACACACGGACACATGCATGGATGCACAGACACACACGAACACATGTGCACAACCCTCCCCACCCCAGTCCAGCCATCTCCCACGGGCACGTACAGAGCTGCTCCTGGCCGGTCCACAGGTGGAAGGTGATGGTTGGGCTGGGCAGCAGCATGCCTGTTGGCCTGTCTTGGAGAGGGTCTCCTGAGGAGAGGAGCAGATGGTGGGGCCCATGGAGATGAGGGCTGGGGGTTTCTTCTCTGCTCTCCTTCCTGCTTAGATCCTGGGGTGTGGGGGTGTGGATGGCAACCCCTCCTGTCCCTGCTTCTAAAAGCTGATGTGCTCCACAAAGATTCCAGAATCTTCTGACCATTGCTGGGCTGTTGTGGATTTCCCCATCCACATTGGGCTTGCGCCCATCATGCCATTAGCTCGTATGCAAATAGAGCAAATCTTGAAGAATATTTTAAAAGGAACCCCAGATCTGTGACATAAGTAGTTCTGATGTCTGCTCCATTAGACTTTCTCTTCAGGGTGTTCTAGACACCTGGGTTTGCCTCTTGGCACTCCTAGTTGAGTGCTCTTGAACAAGAATTTATCTATCTATCTGTCTGTCTGTCTGTCTGTCTGTCTGGTCTGTCTCTCTGTCTGTCGTGGAACCTGAACTCTGGGCCTGGGCGCTATCCCTCAGCTCTTCAGCTCAAGGCTAGCGCTCTATCACTTGAGCCACAGTGCCACTTGCGGCTTTTTCTGCCTATGTGGTGCTGAGGAATCGAACCCAGGGCCTCATGCATGCACGGCAAGCACTCAACCACTGAGCCACCTTCCCAGCCTGAACAATATTTTTTTTTTTGTCAGTTCTGAGACTTGAACTCAGGTCCTTGCATTTTTGCTTGGCTTGCTTGCACATCTAGGGCTCTACCACTTGAACTGTAGCTCCAGTCCGGCTTTTTTGTTGATTAGTTAGAAGATGCAGTCTCAAAAACTTCTCTGCTTGGGCTAGCCTGGAACCGTCATCCTCCAGATCTCAGCCTCCAGGAGTACCAGGTGGCGAGTCACCAGGTGACAGCTTGGGTAAGATTTTTTTTTAAAACCTTTCCCCCCCTAACTCAGTTTCCTTCCCAGTAAAATGGGGGGGGGGGATGTGTGATGATAGGTTCTAATCTCATTAGTTTACTGTACAAGTTAGATGATTTAATATATGTAGATTTGAATATACCTAAGGCATGGTTACTGGGCATGGCAGGTCTTCTGTAAGGTGTGGGCTAGCATAGACAAATCAGTCACCTTCTTGGGGGAAGGTGGTACAGCCAAGTCCCCAGGCTTCTGGAACCCCTAGCCCCCATCCCAGGAATCACAGGCACAGCGCTGCTCTCCAGCGCCCCCTGCTGTCCACGCCCCCCTCCAGGCGGCTTACCTGCGCAGCGCGCCCTGGCGACCTCCGCAGGCCCTAGCAGCGAGTGGTAAATCTCCTCCAGCCTCTGCAGGTGTCCTGCCGCCTGGCCCTCGCTGGCCTCGCCCGCTGACACCTGCTCCACAGCTGCCACCACGGCGTGGAAATAGTGCTCCAGGATGCGGCGGGAGCTGGCCTGCGGGGAAGGGGTTATATCCGAGCCCAAGGCCCGGCCTAGCTCTAGGGCCAGGTCTTTGCTCTGCCACAGCTTGGGGGTCCCCCTGCCTCTCATACCCTACGATGGGGAGACAGCTGGTGGCCTGTCACTTTAAGGAGCATCCCAGCAGTACATAGCAAGAGAATTACTCTGGCTGGGAGGGTGGCTTAGTGGTAGAGTGCTTGCCTAGCATGCATGAAGCCCTGGGCTCAATTCCTCAGTACCACATACACAGAAAAAGCCAGAAATGGCGCTGTGGTTCAAGTGGTAGAGTGCTAGCCTTGAGCAAAAGAAGCTCAGGGACATTGCCCAGGCCTAAGTTCAAGCCCCAGGACTGAGGAAGAAAGCAAGCAAGCAAGCAAGAAAGAAAGAAGGAAGAGAGAAAGAGAGGGAGGGAGAGAATTACTCTGTACATACATCTGGAGCTTGCTATTTTTCTAGTGTGCTTCTGTGGAATGTTTCTGTCTTTAAGTAGCTGGGTAATATTCCACTTTGCACACACTGACTGAGCCTGGTGCTGTGATAACGTTCTGGTGAATGTATCCTGTAATCTCTTTTTATACGCTTTGTTTTAAATGAATAAGACACCAAAATTCAAATGTACAGAGGGTGTTCTTAGGAAGAATGTAACAGAAGGTTAGGGGAGGAGTTGGGTTGGGAGAGATGGGGAAGAATGATGAAAGAGATGACATTGATCAAGATGCATTGTATTTATAAACTGATTTGTTGAATGGTAGCTCCTTTGATGCAATTATGTAAAGATAATAATAATAATAGTTTTTTTTAAAGAAAGAAAGAAAAGACATTGCCCAGGTGCCGGCACCCCCCCCGCCCCGCCCTGCCCCTTCTGCCAAAGAATACAAGACTTGAGGATTGGAGGTTTCCAGAGGGCAAACAGCAAGAAGAGCCACATGTCTGGTGTATTGGGATGGGCAGAGCAGGGTCCTTCCTGGGGCAGGACAGCGGGGACAAGTTTAGAGAAGCTGTGGACAAGTGGACCCTTAAATGGGATCCTGGCCCCTCCCACAGAGGCAGCTCCAGGTCTCTGAGTCCCAGAAGCTCTTAGCTATTATTCACTTCAGCCTTTCCCAACTTCTGGAGTGTCCATCACACCCCACAAAAGGTCACTCCCAACTGACAGCAGCCCTTCCCCTTCCAAGATGTTCAGCACCTGTGGCTGACTCTCTGCTGTCCTTGGTCTGCTGGGCTTCCCCAGGTCCTGCGCAAACTCTGGGGTGAAATCACAGAAGAGCCAAGAAGTACGCAGTGTTGGGAGCTAGCTGATGCTGCATAACAACAGGGCATTGGCTATGTAACAGCACATGCATAAGACAGAATGTGGTGAAACCACCCAAAGTCCATATTTTCCATCCAGTATCGTGGTATAAGCCTGTTATCTCTGCTACTAGGTAAGCAGAGGCAGGAGGGTTGGGAATTCAAGGACAGACCCTGCAAAATTAGGGGCACCTTATCTTTAAAACTGCAAACAAAAGCTGGGCTATGATATCTCATGCCTGTCATCCTAGCTACTTAGAAGACTGAGATCTGAGGATCATGGTTCAAAGTCAGCCTGGGCAGGAAAGGCTGTGAGACTATTGTCTCCAATTAACCACCAGAAAACCAGAAGTGGCACTGTGGCTCAAATTGGTAGAGTGCTAGTCTTGAGTAAAAAGAACTCGAGGATAGTGCCCAGGCCCTGAGTTCAAGCCCCAGAACCAAAAAAAAAAAAAAAAAGCAAGCAAAAGGGCCGAGGGGGTGGCTTAAGTAGCATAGCACTCGTGGGAAGCCCTGGGTTCAAGTCCTAATACTACAGAAAAAAGTATATATTTTTGAAGGAATAGGTTCTCAAGTGCCATGTCTCTGATAGTGTAGAAAAACTTTATGTTTCTGTACCAGTGGCTTACCCTGTAATCCTAACTACCCAGGAGGCTGAGACCTGGAGGATCATGATTCAAGGCCAGTTTCCAGGCTGAAAAATCTACAATACCCAATTCATTAGTAAAATTCTGTGCTGGAGGAGTGTCTCAAGTGGTAGAGAGTCAGCCTAGTAAGCAGGCTGAGAGACCCTGATTTTAAATCCTGGTACTGGCAAAATAATAATAATGATAATAATAACCATAAAAAAGTTACCGCTTTTGATCTATTTTTCCCAAAGGAGTGGGGATGGAGGCTAGAACATAATAGAACATAAGCTTGACATCAGAGAGATCAGAGTTCAAATCCTAGTTCAGTCCCTTTGTCGCTGGGTGACTCCAGGGAAAATTTTCAACCTCTCTGGGCCTCAGTTTCCCCATCTGTTGAGGTAGAGGATGAATGCATTCATTGCACAATGCTGTGGGGAGAATTTTAAAATGTGACATCAAGGGTTTAACACAGTGTTTAGGCCCCAACAGTGAATAAATAAACAAGCTATTATAAGATGGGAGCCATTATTAAGGAAACAAACCAAAAAGTTCATTGCTATGCTCCCTAGATATAGAACTTGAGCCCCTTTCATTTTTCTTCTCCTTTTTCACACGCACGTGCCTTGGCAACCACATACTCCTTGGTGATCTGTAAGGATTTACAGGGACAGGGGACAGGAAGCAGGCACCGGGAGTGAGCAGCAGTGATTGGCCTAGACACACAAGGGCCCGGATGGATGTCAGTTACCTGCAGCTTCCGGTGCACAGCACCTACATGGCAGGCCTCCCCCAGGGCGGCCTGCAGGGCGTGGGCGACCACGTGGCGCATGCAGGCCTCAGGGCTCTGCTGCTCCTGCGCCGCCTGGATCTCCAGCAGCAGCGCGCTGCACACTGAGGCAGACACCAGCTCCGGGTCCACGAAGAGGAGCACCCTGGGGGCAGGGGTAGAGGGCCACTGGTGGGCACCACAAAGCTTGGTGGGTGTCCCCCCCCCCCCCCCCCAACTAGGGACTTGGGTCTTTGGTGTAGCATTCAACTCCTCTTAAAAATAAGAGTTTCAGGCCGGGTGCTGGTAATCCTAACTACTCAGGAGGCAGAAATGTGAGGATCAGGGTTCAAAGCCAGCCCAGGGAGAAAAGCCCATGAGACTCTAATCTCCAATTAACCACCAGAAAATCAGAACTGCGGTGGCTCATAGTGGTGAGCAGAAAAGCTTAGAGACAACACCCAGGCCCTGCATTCAAGCCCTACGACCTCACCCCCATGCCAGTACATAAAAAAAGATCTTCAAAAGTCTTGGAGTGAGGCTGACAATAAGGAACTTTCCATCTTTCTAAGGGTGGAGGGTGGTGTTCTCAGCCATGCAAGTCCACTATTTCCACCAGGGGCAGGGATCGAGTCCCATGTCTGTGGGAATTCTAGTTAAAAAAAAATCCTCTTTCTGGGTGCCAGTGGCTCATGCCTGTAATCCTAGCTACTCAAGAGGCTGAGATCTGAGCATCACAGTTCAAAGCCAGCCGGGACAGGAAAAAGTTCTTGAGACTCTTATCTTCAAATAACCACCAGAAAACCAGAAGTGGTACTGTGGCTCAAGTGGTAGAGCGCTAGCCTTGAGCTGAAGAGCTGAAGGACAGTGCCCAGGCCCAGAGTTCAAGCCCCAGGACTGGGGTGGGGGGGGGGGGAAACCCTCTCTACTAAAGCATCCTGGTCCAATGGCTTTTACTCTGGGGAAGGCATGGGCTGGGCTAAATGCTTTCTTCAAACATACTGCACTGCACTGCCCTTCTGGGATGTGTATGACATGAGCATGAGTTGCCTCTTGTATCTTCCCATCACAAATCCTCCCAGCGCCTTCAAGAGGCTGAAGGTGGCAGCCACCCTGGGCCCTCTCACCTTTCCTGGTAGGGGTACAGTTCGCTCCTCAGGTTCTGTTCAGCAATGACCATCCTTTGGTATAGCGTCCCTGCAAACCAGACCCTCTGTCAGCCAGCCAGCTTTCCTCCTTACAAGGTGCTGCTGTGGAGACTTTGGAGCTCCCTGGCATCCTGGAGAAAAGAAGCAGTCTTGGAAGTGCTGCTTGTCTGGTAGCCTAGGCCTTCGGGCTCTCACCTGGGACGGCAGTCTCTGTTTTCAGCTGTATGGCACAGTCCAAGGCGACTGTGCAGTAGGGGGCAGGCAGGGTCAGCAACCTGGTGCACAAGGTGTAGCTTCTCTGGTACAGCTCCTCAGGGACTCCCGTGGCCTGGGGGAAAGGCAGAAGTTGGGGTACACAGAGAGCCATTCATTCATAAATGGCGTTGGGTGGGATGAGGTAGGTGGGAGGGGGGAGAGAGGAGGGGATCCTCTCTGCCTCTTCACACCTTCTAGCCTCTTCTGCCAGTAGGTTTGAGACCTCCCTTTGATAGAAATATATCCCATGCCTGCCATTGGGATGAACTCCCCTCCTAATCCTTCTGCCCTATGCAGGGAGGTACACGTTGGGGGTTCACCAGGCTCAAAAGCTTGGAACTCCTTCTGGGGTCTCCTTTGCTCCCCTGCATCCCACAGGCATTGATACCCACAGTGCCCCCAAGGTTCTCTTGCCTCTCCAGCCTCAGGGCCCCGATTGCCTGATGCCCTTCCCCAGGGCATGCAAACCTATAGGGACCAACCGGGTAGCACATATATGAACAGCACAAGGATTTCCAGGAGCCACTGAGTGCCTCCCTGCCCTCCAGCTTCATCTCTGGGGAGGGGGAAAGTGCATGGGGTGCTGCAGGCTGCCAGGAGTTGGCCTAGGCTCACTCAGGCAGTCACTAAGGGAAGAGGAGAGTGTGGAGCTCAGGTACTCATGGGCCGTGGGCTGCCTCCCTCCCCGTTGGGGCCCCTCCGGCTCACCTTGGTGAGCACGTACATTAGCGTGTGCAGCAAGGGGATGAGGACGTGCTGGTGGTCCTCACCTTCTGCCTGCAAAACAGGAGAGCCCAGCTGGGCACATGGCAGTGGCTCACGCCTGTAATCCCACCTAGAGGAAAGTCCATGAGACTCTTATCTCCAATTAACCACCAAAAAGCCAGAAGTGGAGCTGTGGCTCAAGTGGTAGAGCACCAGTCTTGAGCAAAAAAATCCTCAGGGACAACACCCAGGCCCTGAGTTCAAGCCCCCCGTACACACACACACACACACACACACACTCTCTCTCTCTCTCTCTCTCTCTTACACACGCACACACACACACACACACACACACACACACACACACACACACAAACATGTCTGATAAAAACGAAGCTGATCATCCACATTTGGGGGCTCTGCGTGGCTGTAGCTCAGGCCCATCCCAGTGGTCCCCCTCTCTTCCTCTCACTCCCTCAAGCCTGCACACACCCACCTTCTCCAGCTCTCGGAGCAGAATGCGCACCAACACTGGGCTTTTAGCAGGATCGCGATCCACCTTCTTGTGCAGGGACCATCTCCACATGCCTGGGCCAGGGGACAGGGGAGCCCAGCACGATGGGGTGACGGGGCTGGGGGCTCTTAGAGGAGATGACCCTGAACCCCACAACCCAGGCCATGACTTTGACCCTGCGGCTCATTAGGCCCACAGGGAGGCATCCCATCAGCAGCCAGTGGCATAATTCCCAAGGCAGAAGGGAGGGGGGGGGGTGAATTGGGGACAGGTGTGTGTGTGTGTGTGTGTGTGTGTGTGTGTGTGTGTGTGTGTGTCTGTGTTTCAGAGCAGCAGCTGTCTGCAGGTGTGTACCCCAGGTGTGTATGGGGGGGGGGTCTGTGGATTGCTGAAGGGGAGGAGGTAGGGAGGGGCTGGGTGTGCTGGGGAAGGTGGTGAGAAGAAGCTCCCCCCCACCCCCTGCCCATAGATACTGGTAACAGTGAACCAGGAGCAGGGAAGCTTGTGGATGCTCAGGGCTCCAGGTATTTCCAGCAGGAGAAGGTGGATAGACTGGAGGCCCCTCCTGGTGAGTTCCAAGCTGGGAGGACCTCTCCTGAGCTGCCCCACGGGGGTAGCTCTGCCTGCAGGCCAGCTCTCACCCTGGTTGCTCTGTAGCGTGGTGGCCGGGGCACTGAGCTCACGCAGCACAGCCTGCACGCTCCTCTGCAGGTCCAGCTCCACATCTGGTGGGCAAGACATTGAGGAAGAGAGCTTTGAGAAAGTCCCCTCGCCCTGGGCCACTGCTAGAGCTGCCAGCTTCTCCTGCCCCTCCCCCCCCCCCGCCCCCTGGGGCTAGAAGACACCTTTTCTTTTGCTGTCCCAGTGCTCTTTGCAAAACCAGCATTTTTCAACGGGTGCCCATGTGAAATTCCTCCCTGACCCAAGAGATTTTGCTTTATTTACCCTTGGTTATCTATTTAAAATATTATATGGAAAAATCTAGAAATAATTGGTCCTTGGGCACTGTCCCTAGCTCTTTTGCTCAAGGCTAGCACTCTACCACTTTGAGCCATAGCTCTACTTCCAGTTTTCTGGTGGTTGATTGGAGATAGTCTCACGGACTTTCCTGCCCAGGCTGGCTTTGAAGTGCAATCCTCAGGCTCCTGAGTAGCTAGGATTACAGGCCTGAGCCATCAGCACCTGGCTCTAAAATTCTTTGGCCTAACAAACTTGGTACTCCAGGACCCAGAAAAGGCTTTCAGGAGCATCATCAGTTCCAGTGTCACTTGCACATCTAATCCGTATCCACTTCTTGGAAGATTCAGACCGGGGCAGGAAGCATGGGGGACCTCCCTACATGAAAATCCCCCCTTGGCAGCCAGTTCCTGCCAATATTCTCTTTACAGAATAGCATGTGGTCTCTAGTGGCTAGACAACACACAACACACTTGTCAGGGTTTCCCTGTTTGATGTGGCTGCCAGGAATCTTGCTGGCCACTTGGGACCCAGTCTGAAAAATGAGCTCATCTCAAGAGCTTATTTTCTTCTTGGGTGCTTCAGCTTGGTTAATATCTCTCTCTCTCTCTCTCTCTCTCTTTCTCTCTCTCTCTCCTTCCCTCTTTTCCTCCCATGCCTGCTCTCCCTCCCTCCCTCCTTCCCTCCCTCCCTCCCTCCCTCCCTCCCTCCCTCCCTTCCTTCCTTCCTCCCTCCCTCCCTCCCTCCCTCCCTCCCTCCCTTCCTCCCTTCCTTCCTTCCTTCCTTCCTTCCTTCCTTCCTTCCTTCCTTCCTTCCTTCCTTCCTTCCTTCCTTCCTCCCTTCCTCCCTTCCTCCCTTCCTCCCTTCCTCCCTTCCTTCTTTCCTTGCTTTCTCTTCTTTTCTTCTCTATATCTCCTTTTCTTCTTCCCTCCCACCTTCTCCCCTTCCTCCTTCTCTTCCTCCCTCCTTCCTTCTCCTTTTCTTTCCCCCTGCCTCACTGATCCCCTTCTCGTGGGCTTCAGACTTAAAATGGTGACGATTTGTTTTCATCCTCATTAGAAGGGCAGCCAAGCCTTTATCTCTGAGCCCTAAGCTCCCTTGTTTTGCAAGAGGAATGATATGTTTATATTTCAGGGACAGTTTTGAGAGAAGTTGCCAGTAGGCTAGGGAGACAATCTTGAACAAACTTTGTTTCAAAAGTCTGGACAACAGGAACAGATCTTCAGGCTTCCTTCAGGCTAAATGTGGCTTGCAGACATGTTTTGTTGGGGTTTGTGAAGTCTCTCTTAAAAGATGAAATAGAAGCCAACAACCATGAGTCAGAAGATTTTGAATGAAAGTCTGAGTGCCTGGCAAGTCTAGAAAGCCGGAAATTTGACTGACACTGGGCACACGTTGTGTTCTGTGTTCTGATAAGGGCCAGCTGAGGGCTCCAGGGAGCAGATGCTCCTTCTGAGGCTGTTTCTCTACTTCGCATTTCCCACTGTCCCCCACCATCCTGCTCTCTCATTTGCATGTCCTGTCTGACCCCTGCAGACCTCCAGTTAGCTAACTGGGCCCATCAAGCTGGATTGTCCCCAAAGGGTAGGAATTAGAATAAGGACAGAAGTTTTTAAAGGTGCTTTTTGTTTGTTTTTTGTTGGTCATGGGGCTTAAACTCAGTGTCTGGGTGCTGTCCTGGGGCTCTTTTGCTCAAGGCTCAAGGCTCTAACACTTTGCACGCGGCTCCATTTTGGAGTTTCTGGTGGTTAATTGGAGATAAGAGTCTCAGGGACTTTCCTCCCTGGTCTGGCTTTGAACCACAATCCTCAGATCTGAGTAGTTCAGATTACAGGCATGAGCCACTGGAGCCCCAGGAAAGGGGGGATGTTTGACTCCTCAAGACCATGAGGAGTTAAGGGGTTCCAGGGAACAGGGAAGCCCAGGGTCGACTGGAAACATAGCTTCCACGTGGTAGTAAAGATGGGGTGAAGGGATCCTATGCCTTCAAATGCCACAGCAAAGGTCTTCTAGATGGCCTTTGTCAGGACACAAGAAGGTCCTCAGAGGAGCCTCCATCTCCTCAGGCAGTGAGAACCCGGCAAACTAGACCTCATAAGTCCCAGGATCCTCGGCAACCCCTCAGGAATAGGAAGCACTACCAGGCGACAACACCAGAATTCATACTAATCTTGGGAATTGGAAGATTTGAGTCTTGATGGGATTGGATGAAGCAACGAATGAGAAGGAAAGCCAGGCAGTGGTGGCTCACATCTGTAGTCTCAGCTACTTAGGAGGCTGACAGCTGAGGATCCCGATTCAAAGCCAGCATAGATAGGAAAGTCCATGAGATGCTTATGTCCAATTAACCAGCAAAAAGCTAGAGGAGATGGCTCAAGTGGTAAAGTGCTAGCTTTGAGCAAAAAAGTTCATTGAGTTCAAGCCCTAGTACTGGCAGGCACGTGCACACACATGCACACACACAAAGGGAAGAAAGAGATGGGATATTTCTGGTGTGCTGTTTCAAATATGTATATTGTCCACATATAATATACATGATGAATATTCTTGGTTCAGAGAAGTCAATAAACAAGTGATATCCGTGGTTATTTCCCTCTCTTTCATCCATGAATGTAGGCTATTAGCATTAGAGGATTTTTCTTACTTGTTTTTGCCCTCTACTGGTGTTTGAACTCAGGGCATAAGCACTGTTCATTAGGTTTTCTTTGCTCAAGGTTAGCTCTCTACCACCTGACAGTTACTTGGCGATAAGAGTCTCACAGACTTTCCTATCCAGGCTGGCTTCAAACCATGATCCTCCGATCTTAGCCTCCTAAGTAAGATTACAATCATTAGCCACCAGCAACCAGCCTACTGTTAAGTTTTAACAGTGACATTTAAAAGATAGTGCTATTATATGTTCATCCACTTGATTTCATTTCTTTTGCAAGTGGACAAAAAGACTACATTTCCCAGTCTCCCTTGGGAGAGGTGGAGGAACCATGTGACTAATTCTGGCCTATGGAATGTGGTAGATGAGATGTGTGTCATCTGCAGGTCTGGTCATAAACTTCTCTGCACTCTCTTTCATACTGTTCTCATTCCACAGTGACCTCAGAAGACACATGTTGAAGATGAGGCCATAGAGAGAAGATCCCTGGGGCCTGGCATGACTGGAGCCACGCAGTCCTGTGCTAGGAGGCAGAAGGAGTATTTATTGGGCTGCTCCTCTGATATTTTGGGTCCGCTGCTGTTACCTTCTCTGGTTGACTCTTGGATATACAAAGTATTTTCCCATGGGTAACTCATTTAATTGGGATTAGAGTCCTGCTGAGTTTAGCAGTACAAATACGATCCTGCCTGCTAGATTCCAAGTCTCATTGCATTCTGTGTCCCACACTACCTCTTCAACTGCCAAAGGTCAGACCTAGAGGCATCTTCGAACCTTTCTTCTCATTTTATAGGTGGAAAAATTAGTCTCAGAGGGGACAGAGCTGTCGGAAGCAGAGCTTGCTTCGTGAGATGCTTGTCCATCAAAGTTACATGTATTTACTGGGAAAGGACACAAGGAGACTATGTATATACAGTTATGTGCACCCTGGGGTTTGAAACACCGAAACAAACACCCTTGCAAAAGGGAGAAGCTAGTAAGATCTTGACTATGGTAGAATCCCTCACAGTTCAGCACCTGCTCCTCAATTCCAGGCCATTCAAATCTGTTTTAAGACTTCCCACTCCCAGCCTGCCTTTTCCCAGTGACCCTCCTTTTCCTGTGACCTTACACAGAGAAAAATCCTTCCTCAACTCCTTTCCATAAGGAGAGCTCACCTTTCCCCAAACTTGAGTGCATATCATAGCTACCTATGATGTTAAAAAAAAAAAATCCCCTCCCTCCCATTAAATCAGATTTTACAGGGTGGGTGGGTGGGAACATACTGCAGAACTTTTTATAGTCCCTCAGGGGCTTCTGACTTGAGGTTCAAGTGATAATGACTGTTCTAGGTCTAGATCGAAGTTTTGTGTCCTTGCTGTGTTAGACAAGAAGGGAGTCAGGTGACAAGATGCTCAATGCTCACAGAGGACATTTATCTGAATTGAGGAAGATCACAGTCTCAGGACAGCAGCAAGACTCCTGGTTTGTCCTCAGGAAGTGGTGGGAGGAGATTTAGAAGAACAAAAACTGGAGAAAGTATATATATATATATATATATATATATATATATATATATATATATATATATATATATATATATATATATGTTTGGTGTTCAGAAATGTGACCTTGGAGCCAAATGGTAGATAGTAGTTTCCAAATTCTTTTGGGGGGTCCACCCTGATTTAAATGAAACCTGGGCATCTTTTTTTTCTCAAGAAAACTGATCTATATCTTCTTGAAGTTACCTTCTGCCCACTTGTAATATCTAATTCTGTGAATTAACTTGACCAGACCACAGGGTGCCTAGGTAGTTGGTCAAACATTATAGTCTGTGTAGGCACTATTGAATGTGATTAACATTTAAGTGGCTAGGCTGAGTAAAGCAGAGTGCCTTCCCTACACATGCTCACCTTACCATACCCCTGCTTCTCCCTTTTATTACAGTAAGAGATAATAATACCCATTGGAGGAGAGCAAATTAGTTAATATTTGTCAAGTGCTTTCACTGATCCTTGGAACAAAGTAAATATTCTTTTATTTGTTCATTTATATTTGGGTTGGTCATGGGGCTTGAACTTTAGGCCTGGGCACTGTCCCTGAGCCCTTCAGCTCAAGGCTAGCATTCTACCACTTGAGCCACAGTGCCACTTCTGGCCTTCTCTGTTTATGTGGTGCCAAGGATCCAACCCAGGGCCTCATGCATGTGAGACAAGCACTCAACCACTGAGCCACCTTCCCAGCCCCATAAATATTCATATTGATTCTTTATTTAACCACAATAATTTGGCACCAAGCCTTGGCTCTTCTTACTACTTTCCCATTGCCTATTGTTCAGAAGGTCCCCACTCATGGCCAGCTGAACTGGAGACTGGCAACTTGGATGAGTGCAGGGGTGACAGCCCCAAGGTCCACCTGATTCTTCAGGAGTTCAGCCAGGCTTGCTAGACCCTCCTCCCCACCACACTGACCTGAGCCCTCCATGGAAGCCTGTGGGATACGGGAGGAGGATGTGGTTGTCTCAGGCAGAAGAATGGAAAGTGGCGTGGTTGTTTTTCTGCACAGAGGTTCTGCAAAATAAGAGACAGATGGTGAGGATGTGTGGTGAGTACAGAAAATGTGCGCATGTGAGACATAGCGTGGCTCTCGGGGGATGGGTTTCTAGTGTATGGTAGGAAAGCCAATATTTAAATAAGAAACAAACTCATGGCCTCATGTTTGCTTGGCTAAGTGCACTACCACATGAGCCATGCCCTCAGCCTTGAGTTTTGCTGGCTCATGGGAGATAGAATCTTAAGAACTTTTCTGCCTGGGCTGGCTTCAAAACACAATCCTCTGGATCTCAGCCTCCTGAGTAGCTAAGTTACAGGTGGAATTCACCAGCTCCTAGAAGTAATGCTTAAATAATGCTGATGTATTTAAATGGTGAGAAGTCTAGATTTGTTTAGAAATACAGTCAGCTCTTCAGATATCTGAGTTTCACATCTGTTCAATTCAACCAACCAGATTGAAACCACTCAAAACCCCCTTGCATCCGTACTGCACACATAACTGACTTAGTTTCTTGTCCTTATTCCCTAAACAATGTTGTATCACAACTATTTACATAGCATTTACATTGCATTGGGTATGTTAAGGTTCTAGAAGCGATTTAAAGTAAATGTTAGGGTGTGCATGGGTTATATGAAAACATCACGGCAAATTATACAAGAGACTTGGCATCTGTAGGTTAGGATACCTAAACCAATCCAGGGCCAGCTACCCCTAAATTATACTTAATTTCTTAATTGGTGCTTCTGACATATGGAACATACCTCAACTTTTTAAAAATATCAGCTATTCTGCATGTGTGTGTGTATGTGTGCCAGTACAGGGGCTTGAACTCACGGCCTAGGCACTGCCCCTAAGCTTCTTTTGCTCAAGGTTAGCACTTTACCACTTGAGCTACAGCACCACTTGCAGCTTTTTCTGTGTATGTGGTACCGAAGAATTGAACTCAAGGCTTAATGCATACTAGGCAAGCACTCTACCCTAAGCCAGCTGGCTTCCTGTCCTTTGAGGCTGACCACATCAGGGGATGGGAGGGGAAGGGACAGGGAATCAACTTGTACCGGGGACAGGAAATGGAAACTCCGCTCATTAGCAAAATGTATCAACAGCACATTTGTCTTCCCTACAGGAAGAAGATACATTTCTTAAATAAGTGAAGTTTGTCCCTCTTCACCAAACCAAGGCTCTGGGAGTTGCCTCTTAGACTCGTCATGGGAGCTGATTGGACTTGGCCACAAAACAGGGAGGCGTACAGGCGCTCTGTGGGCAGGGCAGCCTCTATCCTCTCAGTCAAGGCTTCTTCTGTTCCTTGACTTCATGGTGCTGTCTGGGTCCTGAGCGTAGGGAATGAATGGGCTCTACTTCAGTCTAGTACTCTATTGGCCTTTCTGCAATTTACCCAGAAAGGGAAGGTTTTGTAATTCATCCACCTATCCCTCCAAGGAAACTCTCCGACATTGGTCTGCCCAGACAGGGCCTCTTTCTAAGTTTAAGGAAATTGCCTTCTGTGTTGGCTATAGACCTGCCTTAGTCATCTTTGCTCTTCTACACAACAGCTAGTTTTCTGAAGGCCGGGAAGCCGGCTAACCACAAAGTCATTGTCTTGAGCATATAGATAATAGCAAGTCTAAGAGGTCGATGTATGAAAAAAGTGTAGGACTTCCTTTTTTTGGATTACAGCATCTCCTCAGGGGGCTCAGAGGCCCTTCTGGCTCTCTTCCTAGTTCTTGGCAGTCTTGTGGGTGCCTGGGATTGCAGAGTACAACAGAGTATTCATGGAATGCTATCTATGGGGGCAGGGCACTGGGCAGCATTGACAGTTTAGAGATAAGTGAATGAGACATTGCTTTCAGGAACTACTGGTCTACCTATCAGTGACTTTTAAACACCACAGTGTGTCTCTAGTTGCTCAGGGCTCTTAGAACAGACTTCTCACATGCCTGAACTATCACTAAGATGTGAATCACACCTCACAGACATAATTTCCACAACATGCAAAATTATGGGTCATCTTGATGGGGCAAAGGGATGTTCCTATAGCTGGCAAAACATTATTTCTGGGTATGGCTGTTAGGATGTGTGTTAATCATCTTTCCATTACTGTAAGAAAGTATCTGAGATGGTTAACTTATGCTGAGAAAAGGTCTATCTTTTTTTTGTTTTTGTTTTTTTTTTTGTTTTTTGGTTGTTGGGCTTGAACTTGGAGCCTGGCTCTGTCCCTGAGATCTTTTTGCTTAAGACTTTGAGTCACAATACCACTTCTGGTTTTCTGGTGGTTAATTGGAGAGAAGAGTCTCATGGACTTTGCTGCCCTGGGGCTGACTTTGAACTGCAATCCTCAGAGCTCAACTTCCTGAGTAGTTAGGATTACAGGCATGAGCCACCAGAGCCTGGCTGGTCTATTTTACCGTACAGTTTTGGAGATTTCCATCACAATTAACTTGATCTATTGCTGTGAGCCTCTGACCTGGCAGCACCTTGCGGTTCAAGCTGATGACAGAGCAAATCTGCTTCCTTCACAAGCCAGGGAACAAAAGGGAAAGAGGAAGGGCCTGAAGTGCCACAATCTTCCTTGAGATCACACCCTCAATGCCCCAAAGACCTCCCACTAAGCCCACCCCTTTTTATTTTATTTTACTTTTTAAATTGTGATTCAGTGATTACATACATTTCACAAACGTCACAGTCTTGTAAGATAGTGATACTTAAAGTCACAAACACATTCTAACCTTCATGGTAAGCCCATCTCTTAAAGGTCCCTCTCCTCCCAGAAGCTTTACCTGGGTGCCAAGACTTTAATAATGGGTCTTTGGGGAAACATTCAACTCTCCAACTATGGTAGTGTTTGTGGAAGAGTTGAGCATTTGAAGCACATACCTATTGGGTGTGTGTGTGGGGTGGGGAGGGAGCAGCACCCCATCTTTTGATATCCCAGAGCCACGAGGTGAAAACAGGGTAAATATGGTCTCTGCCTGAGCTGAGATTCCCATCTTCTGCCTGCAGACATCAGGGCTCCAGGCTCAGACTCAGACACAAACTCATCCCCTCACTGCCCGGGTTCCTAGATGAGAACTACAACATGGAGCTAGATGTCATTGGCTCATTCACATAATTTTAACTAATCAGGGAGCTGAGATCTGGAAGATCTCGATTCCAAGTCAGCCTGAGCAGAAAAGTCTGTGAGATTTCTTCTCCAATTAACCAGCAAAATGCCAGACTAGAGGTGTGGCTCCGTTGGCAGAGCACCAGCCAGGAACAAGAAAGCCAAGAACTATAGCATGGGAACTTTATTGGACCTTCAGCCTATGGATGGTGGATTGTGAGACTTGTCTGCCTCCTCACTCTTGTGAGCCAATCCTACAATAAATTCCTTTTCATATAGGTGCATAGCCAGTAGATTTGTTTCTCTGGAGTACCCCTCCTACTCTGATGTTTAAACAAGTCTCTCTAACCACAGGCTCCCAAGAAAGACCCTGGAGACCATGTCTGTATCCAGGGCAAAAGGCTGAAAGGTGGGAGCAACTCCACAGTGAAAAGCAAGCATCTTTCTTACTTGGTCCATCTAGTTCTTGTAGAGAGAGAGAAAAAAAGCCTGCACTATTTAGAAGTCTCAATGTGTGGTCAACATTTTTTTAAAAAAATCAGATTTTGCATAGAAAAAAAAATCACAATTCGACTTGGGTGTGGCTTCTACCTGAAATCCTAGTTATTCAGAAGGCTGTAATCTGAGGATTGAAGTTAGCCTGGTCAGACAAATCTGAAAGACTCTGACCTCCAATTAACCATCAAAAAGCTGGAAGTGGAGGTGTGGCTTGAAAGGTAGAGCTCCAGCATTAAGTGAGAGAACTCAGGGAAAGCATGAAACCCTGAGTTCAAACCCCAGTTCCGCCCCCCTCAAAAAAAGAAAAAAGAAAAAACAACTAGGGAGACAGACATAATGGTGAAAGTGACACTTCCATGGTGGCCACTTTGGCCACCTGTGGTGGCTTATCTAACTCAGGTCCCATCTTGGACAATTCAGGTTTCCATGTCTGCTTGTTGCTTTCATGCCACAAAATGATGGGCAAGGGGCTGACCAATTAGATAGCATATTACAGTCTCTGCCCTCCCCCAGTTTCCATGGTAACTACAAGGACGCAGCCTCACAGGACAGCAGGTCATCAACCCCTGCCATTTCAGGAAGAGTCTCAGCAGCTGACATAACATGGCTTCTATCAATGGGGACTGTAGCCTCTTGCTTCTACCACCATAAGCATCCATTAGCTATTTCATTCATTCACCCTGCGTATTAGATTCTACTGACCACAAGGAAAAATCTAGGCCTTCACTAAGGACTGCCTAAGTGTGTGGTTCCATCTATCCATCCATCCAACAAATATTTATAAGAGTTCCTTCTAGGGGTCAGAAAATGTTCCAGGTCTTGGGGATACAGTATCAAGTAAAAATAGGAAAAAATGCCTACTTGGATAAAGGTTGTTCTAAGGATGCAGACAATCAACTAAATAATTAAATTGTTGACTAGAGGATGATGAAGAGTTAAAAAACAATCAAATTGGGAAGTAGAATGAGAGGTTCCAGATTGCACTTTGAGTTTATTGTAGACTTTATTTTTTTTAACTTTAAAAGCTGGGTGCTGGTGGTTCACACCCGTATTACTAGTTATTAAGGCATCTGCGAGCTGAGGATCACAGTTTGAAGTCAGTCCAGGCAGGAAAGTCAGAGAGACCCTTATCTCCAAATCACCACCAGGAAACTGGAAGTAGGGCTGTGGCTCAAAGTGGTAAAGCACTAGCCTAGAACAAAAGAACTCAGGGAAGTGCCCACGCTCTGTGTTCTAGCCTCATGACCAATAAAAATAAAATAAAATAAAAATAAAAGAGACGAGGGATACTATGCTATATTTACAGGAAAAATGTCCCAACCAAAGAGCACAGCAGAGGCAAAGTCCCAATTAGGGAGGGTGGCTGGCTTGCCACTCTTCAGGAGACAGTACCCTGGGGGAGGAAAAGTGGTGTGTGTGTGGGGTGGGGGGTGTTAGGAGATGATTCTCCATAGGTTTGGTTTGTGTACAGCTTAGGGTGTCTTCAAAATCATCTTTCCAAGAATGGATAGCAGCCCCGTGCTCCTGGCTACTCAGGAGACAGAGATCTGAGTATCATGGTTCAAAGCCAGCCCCTGCAGAAATATCTGTGGGCTCTTTCTCGAGGTAATCAACAAAAAGCCAGAAGTGGAGGTGTGGCTCAAGTGGTACAGCACCAGCATAAGAGACAAAATAGAGAGCATGAGGCTCTGAGTTCAGGCGCCAGTATTGGCACGTGCGTGTGTGCATACATATAGACACAAACACACACACACACACACACACACACACATACACACACACAGATCCTTCACTTTTCTAGATGAAAGGATGGGATCAAAGTTAGAATGAAGCAAACAAATGAAGACAATACCCAGTGAACTGGGGTCCAGAGAGCATGTGTTTGTTCTCTCTTAAATCCAGAACATTGGTGCAAAAAGAAAAAAAATAAAATGATCTCAGGGCACATACACAGCCAGTGGGCAAAACAGTGGGGAAAAGCATATGAGAGCGTGCAGGCAGCTGTGGCTGGTGGATGCTCATGTGGGACAGTCTGGTTAGAGGAAGGGCTGAGGAAAGGGGTGAGGGGGATCAGATTTCAGCTCAGAGGAGTCCAGGCCCACCAGCCCCTGCCTTCAGCTCCTAGTCAGATTGCCTAGACAGAAGACCCCAGCCCTCCGCCTCCAGGAGTGCCCACACTGGAAAACAACCCTCACAGCAGACCCTGCTAGCCCAGCACTGGGCACACTGCAGTGACCTGCAGAGCCACCAGAGCTGTGTCAGCCCCACCCCCACCCTGGGGGGTTTTGTGGGCAGATTAGATTTTGCACTCAGCCCTATCCCCACTGGCTCCAGAGGCTCCAGAGGAGGGCTAGGGAAGGAAGGACTCTGCATCCCTGGTTTCCTGCCTGGCTGGGAAGGAAACACCTGGCTGGGAAGAAGTGAAGTGTGTGTGTGTGTGTGTGTGTGTGTGTGTGTGTGTGTGTGTGTGTGTACATGACCATTGTTCCCAAGGCCTGAGTGTAAGGAACATGGATGCTGAATGGAAAGTGCAAAGAGGGGTGGGTGCTCCGGAGCCATGCTGGCCAGGTGCCTTCTGGGAGCCAGTACGTGTGCGGAGAGTGCAGGCCCTAGTTTGTGTGTGTGTGTGTGAGGGGGGGCCTAGGTGTAGCACAGCACCACAGCCACACAGCCAGGGTCCGTTCTTCCCCTGTCACTAGGGTGATTTGGGCTGGTGGCTTTACTTGGCTACTGAGGAGGCTGACCTGACTTGATTCCATTGGAAAATGAAGCATTTTCCTCCTCTCTCTATGTATCCAGCAAAAAACAAAAAAAAAGTCAGCAGTGGAGGGAGTGTGGTTCAATTGGTTGAGTGCCAGCCTTGAGCAGCAAAATCAAAGGAAAGTTCTCTGGTCTTGAGTTTGAGCCCTAGGTCTTACACACACACACACACACACACTTAAATAAAATAATATGAACATACAGCTGGGAAGAATCTCCCTTATAAGACTGTCATGAAGACTAAGTCAGCTGATATTTGAAAACCACATGGAGAACAGGGCATCTGGCTCAAGTGGAAGAGCTTCTGCCTAGCGAGGGCAAGGCCCTGAGTGTAATTCTTTGCGCAGAAGAAGAGGAAGAGGAAAAAGAAAGAGAAAGAGAAGAAAAAGAAAGAAAAAAGAAAACTGAAAGAAGAGAAAGAAGAGGGAAAAGAAAGAAGGAAGGAAGGAAGGAAGGAAAGAAAGAAAAAAAGAAAGAGAAGCAGGAGGAGAAGTAAAGGGATAGGAGGACAATTACTTATAGCCTTGTGGCCTGCACAAGCATCTCTGTGCATTACAAGAACCTCTAGCTGGAAGCCTGGCCCATGCATGCACTCTTCTGCCCCTGTGGATTTGTGACCTCTGCCCCCTTCAGCTGGGAGGCCTCAGCCTCCCCTCTGCATACCAGGCCCACCCTCTTTCATAGTAGCATTTGGAAGCATATCTCAAAGTCTTTATCTGACTTTGCACCTGACCTCTCATTATCTCCCACTTTCTGCACAGCCTCATCTCCCTAAACCCCCTAACATCTTTTGCTTTCTGCAATCATGGCTATGTCCCAACAACCTGGGCAAAGGTCAACTCCTGGGGACAGAGGCCACATCTTTACCAGGCTCTGGGACTGGCCACCTTCCCAGTTGCCTCATCCGCATATGTGGAGAACATCAGCCAAGCTAGCAGGCCGTTATTACCTACCCAGGAAAGGGACGGACAGAGCATGCCCAAGAAGGGACACAGATGGTATCCCAGGCAATTCCCTTTGAGTGTGCTGCTCGCTTAGCCACTCTGCCATCTTTGACAAGTCGCTTCATTTGGAGCCTCAGTATCCTGACCTATAAAATGGACATTAAAACATTTCCCTCTGGCCTGGTACTGGTGGCTCATACCCGTAATCCTAGCTACTCAGGAGGCTGAGGTCTGCGAATCATGGTTCAAAGCCAGCTCGGGCATAAATGTCTATGAGACTCATATCTCCAGTTAACCGCCAGAAAGCCCGAAGTGGAGTTGTGGCTCAAGTGGTAGAGTCCCCGCTTTGAGCAAAAAAGCTAAGGGAGAGCACTTAGGCTCTGAGTTCAAGCCCCAGTAGTGGCACAAAGGAAAACAAAACAAAACAAAAATCATTTATTGCTAGAGAGAATCAAGTGGAATAACAAAGGTATTTCCTACACCATGGCGCACGTATCATTGGATCTAGTATCATTGGCAGTACGAGATCTCAGAAGGTGAAGTCCCTTCACTGGGTCCTAGGCTCTTTTTATTATTTGAAAATGACCTGAGCAAGCACAGACAGGGAGAGTATCTGCCATATTTGGGGAACCCTTCCCTGAAAGGCTGAACCCATGGAGCCCCAGACTTGGGTCTCCTCCTCTGCTGTCTTGGCTCAGCTCTGTGTCACCCAGGTCCTCCACAGAGACCTCAGCTTCAGCCAGTACCTACCTTGACTTGGCTTGGCTTCTCTACTCCCCAAGTCTTCCAATCATTGAGCTCCCCGAAGTTCTGCCCAGTGATCCCCAACAGCTCTGAAGGACCAGCTGTCTTGGAGGAGTCCTATCTGTCCAGATCTGCAGAGAAAGTCTTGTGTTTTACCGGCCAGCCCTGTCCCTCCTCTTCCTTCCCCTTCTTCTTCCTCCCTGTGGTCTTCATAGCTCCTCCCCAGCACGGCTGGCTGCAGGGTCACTTCTAAAGAAGCCACTGTGATCACTAAAGGCTCTTCATTGTGATCTATGCTATCAAACTCCTTGGGGCAACTACCTGGCCTTGCACTGGTGTTGATGGGGTTGACCCCCACTCCAGCTCTGCTCCACACCCATGCTTCTCAGTCTGAGCCTATCTTTATTTCTGAAAAATTATATACATTTGGGCTCCAGTGGCTCATCCCTGTAATCCTAGCAACTCAAGGGGCTGAGATCTGAGGCTCGGTGTTCAAAGCCAACCCAGACAGGAAAGTTCAATTAACCCACAAAAAGCCAGAAATCTAGCTGTGGCTCAAGTGATAAGAGTGCTAGCCTTTGGCATGAAAGCTCTGTGACAGTGGCCAGGTTCTGAGTTCAAGTCCCAAGGATGGCATTAATAAAACAACTAAAGTGAAATTGATTTTTAAAAAATCAATCTTCATTTAGTGATAATGTAGACTTTATAATAAAACTGTAAGATACTGACATTTGATAGTTTAAACAACACGTCATTTGTGCAAAAGTCATGTTTAGCATGAAAATTTAAGTTGGGAAATTCATAGTTCACATTTTGTTGACAGCTTGAAGAAATTATTATAATTTTACTTAAGATAGAAAACAATGGGGTTAGAGGCATGGCTCAGGTGAGAGGACCTCTGTCCATGAGCCTAAAGGGCCAGATACTGAGTTCAAGTCCTGATTTCAAACTCCCCTCTTCCCCCAACTTTCCCCCGCTCCAAATTCACAGTTAGGCTTGAGAATTAGTACTATAAATTTTATATAGTTAGTACTATAATTTTTTATTAATAAGATGTACTTGAAATAAAGGATTCTGATGACTAATAAATTGATACTTTATTGTATAGTCAAGGCCCATTGGTTTTTATAAAGCCTAATAATCAGGTATTTCACCATTAATTTAAATGACAGAGATCTAGTTGAAAACATCATTTGGATGATTAAAATAAAAAGCACTAGCAGCTTCGATTTCCATTTTTACCAACAGACACAAAATGTAGAGTATATTAGGCTTTGCCAGAAAACCATGCAGACAATCCAGGTACAAAGAACAAAGAAAAGGTTTATTGTCAGTAAAGGATCAACAGGACCCCTTCTCACAAGAGAGGAGTGAGAAGAAGTGCCAGTTATTGTCTGAGGTGACCTTTATAACCTAGGAGGTTTAGGAGGTGGAGACCCTGGTGTCGACATGTGGACCAGGGGCTTCATCATGGTGGACTAGGATTTATGGCTGCTGCCCACATAGTAGATAAGGGGCCTTGCAGCTGCCCAGACCTGAAGGCCACTCTAAGGGGATCTGTCTGTCTTATATAGTTGTAGCTGCCCCAGAGGAGTGCCATTTCCAGATAAAGGGGGTTGAAGGCTGATTATTTACTGCCCTTACTAAATGGGCCTCGTGTTGGCTAGGAAAGGAGCATGCCAAACCATGGGAAGGGGAAGGAGCACGCTAAGCTATGGGAAGGGAGCTTATGGGGCCAACACAAGTCTGTATTCTGTACTTAAAACTTGTAGAAAAGTCTCAAGTATGTTTCCCCAAGAGAAAAAATCAAATGTTAAAACTTGGTTTGAACAACAACAAAAAAAGCTGGGTGCCAGTGGCACCCACCTGTAATTCTAGCTACTCAGGAGGCTGAGATCTAAGGATCATGGTTCTAAGCCAGCCTGGGTAGGAAAGTCCATGACATTCATCTCCAACAGAAAAGCCAGAACTGGCACTGTGGCTCAAGTGGTAGAGTGCTAGCCTTGAGCAAAAGAAGTTCAGGGACAGTGTCTAGGCCCTGAGTTCAAGTCCCAGGAATGGCAAAAAAGGAAAAAGGATAAAAAGGAAGGAAGGACGAAAGGAAGGAAGGAAGGAAGGAGAGAAAGAGAGTGTATAAAACTTTTTAGAAAGATGCTGAGCCCAACACCAGGTCCTGGTCCCTAGGAATGAACCTTGACCTTCTACATCAATCTCACATGGTCTCTGAGGAGTCAGACCAGAAGATCCACAGCATGTGTCTGGGAGGGACAAGGGAGGGCCATTAGCCTCTCCCTCCCTCACCACCAAGCCGTGCTAGGTCCCAGAAATCTGCCACTGCTCCTCATCCTCACAGCCATCACCGGCTTCTTAGGCCACACAGCTTTTCTCTTGAAAGACTGGGAAAACCTGAGGTCTCCTCACCCTGCTTCCATTTCATCTGATGGTGTTACTACAACCTTCAGCGACTCCCTATCACTTTGAAGAGAATGGTCAAATACCTTAGTGTGATTCACAAGTCCTTTCTCTAGCTGGTCTCTTCTTAGTCTTCAACTTTGTGTGTTTGCCTCTCTTGCACTCCAGCCCTGTCAAGAAGTACTGCAGAGTTTTAACCCAGCCTGTGGGATTCTTTTCTCCTGACTATCTCTTCTCCCGTCATCCTTCTCCTCCCAGAGAAGTGCAAAAACAAATCAGAAGATGGAAGCTGAGGAATGAGAGGGTGACAAGGCAGAGATAAGCAACAGTGCAAATTAGTGATGGGAGAAGCAGACAGAACTCAAGAAACACATTTGCTTATTATTATTGTTATTGTTGTCATTGTTGTTGTTATTGTTATTATTCTTGGTGCCAGTGCTGAGGCTTGAATCCAGGGCCTAGGTGTTATCCCAGAGCTTTTCTTTCTTTCTTTCTTTTTTTTTTTTTTATTGTGAACATACTGTACAGAGGGGTTACAATTACATGGGCAAGATAATGAGTACATTTCTTATCAAGCATTGTAACCTCCTCCTTTGTTTACCCTTCACATCCCTTCCCAGCCTCCCCCTGCTCCCCCACCCAATCCCAGAGTTTTTCTTGCCCAAGGGAAGTTCTCTGCCACTTTAAGCCACAGATCCACTTTTAACATTTTACTGGCTAATTGGAGATAAGAGTCTAATGGACTTTGCTTCCCTGGCTAGCTTTGAACTGAAATCCTCAGGTTTCAGCCTCTTGAGTAGCTATGATTACAGGTGTGAGCTCCTGATGCCAAGCAGATTTGTTTGTTTATCAGAATTGTTTTCACATTTTCACAGCAATTACTTGTGAATGTGAGGTGAAGAGGCCGAGTCTAAGTAACTACTCCTAGCCATCCTAGTGCCTTGCTGGGTGAAGTGAGGCAGGCCATTCATTGAATTGCAGATGTCATGGTGTTTAGCTTAGGAGAGCTTTGCTACAGAAAATGCTGGCTGTTGGTTTCCCTTAAATGATTTAATTCACATGCCACTATGTAGTGTGGAAAAGTTTAAGTTGACCCTTGAGCTACTTTCCTAGATGGACAAGGTGTGTTGGTACCTAAGCTACTTGCTTAGCTGGTTCTGAAAGTTCTGTTTGCACCTGAGTATGTCCATATAAGGTCTGCTTTTGTTGGGCTTTGTCTCCACCCCTGTGGGTTTTGTCTTTAAAAGCTTGGTTCAGGACAGGTGTGGGTGGCTCACACCTGTAATCCTAGCTACTTAGGAGGCTGAGATCTGAGGATCGTGGTTCAAAGCCAGCCTGGGCAAGAAGGTCTGTGAGACTCTTATCTCCAATAAACCACTAGAAAACCGGAAGTGGCGCTGTGGCTCAAGCGGTAGAGCGCTCGCCTTGAGCTGAAGAGCTGAGGGACAGCACCCAGGCCCAGAGTTCAAGCCCCAGGACGGGGGGGGGGGAGGGGGGGAAGCTTGGTTTAAGCTCTGTTCTGGGCTGCAGGTCTTTGAGATGGGAGTCTCCCTGCAGATGCTGGCTCTCCAGTAAAGATTCCCAATTTGACCTCTCAAAGTGTCGCTTCTCTGTTTTCTCATGACTGAGATGCCTTACAACAGATGGAGGCTCTGGAATGGCTCAGGGTTGCCAGAGGAGGTACCTTACAACAAAGGTGTAGAACACAGTTGTAGATGTTCAAATAAAAATCCCACTCTGTATTCTGTTAGGTCTTATGGGTAAATGACTCTGGAGGGAGAAAGATAGCTAACAGCATGAATGCCTGGTTCCAAGTAGGTCAGAAACCCTGGTTTCTAATTTATTCTTGGGCTTCTCAACTATGGGATCCAATACATTTCCCATATTTTTTTGAATTAAGCCACTTTCTGTTGGATTTCTCTCATTTGCATCCAAAGGTGCTTTGGGGTAGTAAAGTCACTAATCTTTTTCTGCAGGGCCTTTGATTGGGTTTTAAAATAGGCCCCCCTCATTTTATAGAGGAATATATATGGGCAGGGGGAGGATTGCCAAGAAATGTAATTTATTCCATGGCTCTGGCTCCCTTCCATAGGTCTTTCTCTTTTGTTCCCGTCATATGACTAAGGTCACATTCCATCTTGCATCTTTGCATTGGTATTCTCAGGTCACAGCCTGCCTTGTCCCTCACTCTCCCTATAGTGAATTCTGGGAAAGCGCTGGTCAGGTGGTTCATATTCACTGTTGTACCCTTCACAGAACAAGAGATTGTTGAGTAGGCTCAGCTATTCAATCAGGCAAATGGATGAACGAATGGATGAATGAATGAGCACGTGAATAAATTAGTGGAGGAATGAGAGTACGGAGGGATGCGTTAATGAATGAATGAATGAATGAATGCCCAGGGTGAGTGACTGGGAAAGTGAGTGAATTGAGGAGTGAACGGGAGATTAGTGAACTGGAGATGAGTGAATGGGATGAGTGTAGAAATAAATGAATGGGGGAATGATTAAGTAGAAGAATGAGCAAATGAGGAGGTGTGAGTGGATAGAGGGATCTGAATGTAATGAATAAGCCCAGGACATGAAGAAAGACCCAGATCTCAGCCCTGTAGTCTCAGCAGGAGTTGAACAGCTCCCAGTGCCCTGCCCGCCCCTCCCCCCCCCTTCAACTGTTCTCTGATTAT